ACGGCAACACTTTTTATTCGTAAAACTATGAAAACTTTTTTTTTTTTCAAAAATTATGGTTTGTCGTGAATATGTTTTACTTTTTCGCCATTTGTTATCAAGAAAAGGACAACAATACAGATCAGCCGTTTGTACAGAGAGAAAAGAAAACGCAGTCGCCAAGCCAAGCGACGCGGACTCTCCGTTTCGCTAGCGCTGCGTTGAAGCGTACAGTACCCCTAGCACGAACCAATATCGAATTCGTATCGTTTGCGAGTCCGAAATGTCATTGTCAAATGTGTACTGATTTTCCATACAAAATTTGACATTGACATTTCGGTTTGCAAACTGTTCGAATTCGATAATAGTTCGTGCTAGGGGTACAGTTCTGTCTCACTCGCTCGATTAAATGTTTATTTACAGAAGTGTGCGTGCGTGAGAGTTGCTTATATAGTGTGAGCGTACCATATCTCTACTTTTTGTTTTAATCTAAGATAAATTTCAATAAAAAATAACTTTTATATCCTTGTAGATATAGTAATAAAGCACTATGTATCCCTTGAAAAAAAGTGATTTTCCCAACTCGAGTGTATTAAGCCTCGGCCTCAAGCTACATCCTCGTTGGTAAATGGCTAATATAGTGAATACTTTGGGGCTTGGCTAATTGGTGTGTGTGTGTTAGAAATATTTATTTCGGTTTCAGCTTCGAGTCCACAACTCTAATATATTCCTCATTTGTCCCCACTGCTGGGGCACAGGCCTTCCCTATGGATGGAATAGGGAGATTGGGCCATGACCCACCACGCGGGCCCAGTGCGGATTGGGGCGTGCTAACGACTGCAGATGCAGCCGGGACCAACGGCTTAACGTGCCTTCCGAAGCGCGGAGGAACTCGAGATAGAAGATTTTTGGTCACCCATCCAATAACCGACCACTGCGAAAGTTGCTTAAGTTCAACGAGCACAGCCGAACGCGCTAACCACCTGCGCCATCGAGCTCCTCATATATTATTAGTTTTAAATTTAAATTAAATCGACATTTATTGCCAATCTCTAACACATATATCTAGCGTTTGTGTCTCATTTTGTAGCTAGTAACAGGAAAAGGGACTATCAAACCAAATAGCAGGCTTACACAGGCTAATGGCTTACGTGCACATTGCAGTCGCCATTCCGAGATTGGATTCTAATCGATTTTTTTACTTCCTATTATGTTACCGTAAGGTCTGATGCAATGGATCTGTTAGGATCAATTACGTTTACCTCAATAGCTATCTAGTATCTTCCGATGTTATCCTATATATTAAAAATCTTATATATCATGGTCTTTGTCCAAAAAAAATCAGAAATTACATAACAGTACCCCTAGCACGAACCATTGTCGAATTCGAATAATTTGCAAACCGAAATATCAATGTCAAATTTTGTATGGAAACTTGAACGAAAGTACGTAACGAGAACCAAAAATCAGTACACATTTGACAATGACATTTCGGACTCGCAAACGATACGAATTCAATATTGGTTCGTGTTAAAGGTACTAACGTTTATGAAATTTGTTTCATTGTAGTAAATTTCTCTGTTTGTGTTTTTTCTCCGATTATTGATGTCAATTACAAAATTAATGCTTAATTATAGAACATCAGTAATTTTTTTGCAAGTAAGTTCCGAAAACACTCGTTCGTAATTTAATAGAAATCCACCAGAAAACTCCAAAATTGTGATAATATTGAATTGAAATATAACATTAGATTTTCCTAATAATTTATTTGTCATAAGAATTTATAATAATGAGAAGAAGAAAAAACATAACAAAGAGAAGCTCGATGTGGCGCAGTCGTTAGGTTTGCGATCGAGGAATTTGAGCAAGTTTCGCAATGGCGAATCATAAGATGGGTTTATCGTCTTTAGCTCCTCCGTGCTTCGGAAGTTACGTTAAGCGGCATTATGTCTCCCATTCACATATTATGATAATTTCATACTTTCATCTAACACTAAGATCTGTTTAAAATTGTAAACATGATAATTATAAACGTCTAACGGAAAAAGTGCTAACATGGATGACTACATCAATTGCTGGTACCATACAAATATAATAATAATATGTCCCAAGTGTCTCAGATGACTTAGATATGTTCATTTTGCATGCAGTTAACCCATCCAAAATGATGAAAAAAAAAACTACTCTAGCACAACGGGATATTGAAGAAAAGAAAGAAGCTCCCAAACAACTAATTGGACTGTTCCACTAAGACGTCAGCTCGCAGCGGGTCAAGCTTTATGTCCTTATCTGAATACATATAAATTACGCGTCACGTTGTTTGCCCGGGATGGATTCCTAAACTAGTTAACCGATTTTAATAAAATATGCACACCGTATGCAGTTTGATCCTACTTGAAAGATAGGATAGCTTACATCTCAATTTATAGCCGCAATATTATTTTATTTCAAATTGTCAAGCTATTTTTACCTTGCCAATTTGACGCAAATAGGCAAATATTGTTTTGATGCTAACATCAAAACTACATCAAGCTACTAATTCAGCTGTAGATTGAGAATCATCAGCCTCCACAATCGGCTTTAATTCGTCATTGTCGACTAAAGTTTTCGGCGACCACTGCTTTCATTTCTCAAGTCGAAATTTCCAGAATGAAAGGAGGCAGCAACGGGTGGTGCGATCGGTAATAGTGTTCGCTCCATATACGTCGTTGATGTTGCATGCCGCTTTTTTTCTATATAATTTTTTTTCGTGTTAACTAAGTACAAACTTATTTCTATTCTACCAAACTGTGCAACAGTTTCTCGGCAGCTTCTTCTGCAGCTTTGCTGACACTACGGTATTTATCCTCCATTATCACTTGAACTTTTAACGTATCCGTGATTAAACAAATAACAAACTTAAAAAAAACTCCATATTTAAAAAAAAATGTTCTTTGAATTATTAGCGAGAAAGGGAAAAATGTACTTGGAATAGCCAGTAAGGCAGTACGTTTGGGCCTAGCCAGGGGGGAGGCAACGGGGGCAGCTGCCCCCCTGGAAATCTCATGTATGAACTCACCTAATAACTAATCAAAGTGTAAACGAGGCCTTATGCTCTAACTTTTAAATTAACCGCGCAGTAGACACTGGTGTCAATTCTGACATGATTCTCTAAACCTAAACTTAAATTTGACACCAGTGTATCCTTGTCATTCTCTATACAGAATGAAAAGGCGAGACTGATGTTAAATTTAGTTTTAAGTTTAGAGAATCACGCCGGAATCGACACCATTGTCACTAAAATGAAAAAAGGTGCAATTGCCAAAAAACCGTGCGCGACGATGGCGAACGAAGAACACCGATAGCAGCAGTTGTATACGGTAATCTTCGGTAGGGAGTTGCGAGCTGAGATTGCGAGCGACTAGCATTTATTTTATTTTTATGATGTTTTATAGTTATACATACGTCATACACGCTTCTAATTTGGCAATACGAAAGTCAGGTAATTGCCCGACTTGCATTCAGTCGAGCACGCTCTCTCGCCGCGGCTACACTTCGCTACAACGTGTATATATTTTACGTTTTTCCAGCCAAACATCCCTTACGTGTGTTCTTAGATAGTACAAAAATTAAACGGGAACTATTAGAGACAAGAAAAACATATGTAATTTGAATTGAAAGTACAGTTTTTTTTGAAGAAATTAATGTATAAATATTTAGTGATTACTTATTTTTGGCATTTGCTGACACCGTAGACATGTGAAGGCAAAAGAGCAAGATTTAATATGATATGCATGAGAGTGAGTGATTACTTTAGTGCACTCTATTGGGGGCTGTTGTCAAGGGAAGTTGAGGTGGGGACTACTTCTGCCATTTAAAAATCAATAATGTTGGTGTATAACCTGTCTATATAATATACGACATTGTTTTATTTAACATGTTATTGTTTTGAAGGAGCTAAATCAAACAACGTAGGTGATTAAAAAATATTCATTCAGTGTCTATATCAAAGTATAGAAATCTGTCTGATTCATATTGTGATGTGATTGTGACAAGCACATACCTAATGTTTAATGAAGATGTGTTTGTGTAGTTTGTACGACAAAACAGCCGCTGTCAATTAGACCTAAAAAATCTGACTTGCCCTAGGCCAGAAGCTGGGTACGCCCATGCATGGCAGTGTCGTAGGCAAAGATTGCGTAAAAACATTTTGAATAATGTAACATTTATTTTTAGGTGAGCCGATAGATGTGTTCGGAAGTGTATTTTGACAGGACAAAAGCTATGCCCAAATATTCAAATAGTTAAGATATCCTGCTTAAAAAACAAAAGGCAATAGGTTCATTTCCCATCTGTAATGGATGATTTCAATTACAGTAGACCTGCGGTAATCTGGCAAACGTATTGCAGAGCAATGTCGGATTATCGAATTTGTCGGATTACAGACTACTGTCCAAGGCCATTCTATAGTCTCTATAGTCCGTCATTTTTGGAATAATCTTAAATCTATTTTAATTGATTTAATGTGCAAATCAACAGTGATAAGCGTGACGGATTACAGGGAGCGCCGGATTAGACGGGGTCCGGATTACCGTGGGTCTACTGTTCAAACATTCTTTAAATGTAAGAAACATTTAAGAATTTTTTATCACAATATTAAATGCAAAAAAGTTCCAACTAAATATCACAATTAAACAATATTTCATGAATGCAGTGTAAATATACATTCATTTATAAATATACTTAATTCGTCTTAGCTAACAAACTAAAATTAAATTGTAATAAACATGTTGATGTTTCACTAAAAGTTGTTTTTAGCAAGACTTTCTAAAAAATAATCTTGTTGGTAAAGCTTCCGGAAGTACTAGAGAATGGATATATATATATAGATAGATAGATAGATAGATACATTTGTCTTGTTTTGTTAAAATTACGTCTATTTTTACCTCTTTAAACAACTTATCATACAGGTTTAAGTTTACTTCAACAAAGTTTTCAGATGTAAAGTAATACAGACGAAAAAAACATATTAAGCCACTTACATTTATCCATTCTTGTGACTGTTTAAACGATTAATACAAGCACCAAACTGTTACAATTAGTGAATGAAATGGTATGGAAATCAGTTGTTTACATACAAAATAAACAATATTTTTGAAGTTTTGTTTACGGATAGGGATTCCGGTCTCAATGAGAAAAGCAAAAATCGATTTTCAAACCGATTAATGTTAGTTAGTGGTTGTTCCGAATCATAAACAGGAACTATGTCGGAACCTCCGAACGACATCGTTCCGCTCCGAGGTGTTAAAATAAACTGTTTCATAATTCCGGACATGTTTATGGGAACGAGACATGCGAAAGAACGAAACAGGTTTGTAGTTCCGGACAGGTTTAAAGGAAAGGAATCTAAACGAAAACGAAGCAAATGAACGGAGAAAGTAAGGAGGAAGGAGTTGGATGGAAGGGAGTCACATAACGTGCCTCGTGGCATGAGTGTCAGTTTTACGTGCATGCGGCTGGTGTTCATCGATTTATAAGCCGTTATCACGACGAAAATTGCTTTCATGCCCCATACAATACACTGGGTAATTGTTTAAGATCGCATAAGGGAAATGTGAGTGCTACCTCGTTCTCGGAACTACATAGTTCGGCGGACATGATAACTCAACGAGGACATTTTTTTCTTTTTTTATTTTGCTCACAAAACTGATTACAAAACATATCCGTGTAAATATATGCATATAAAAAAAACATCAGCTACTTTGAAACCTACTAGATGCAAGCACAACATGCATTTCTAATACTACCTAACTACCAAGGATTAATATAGTACATATAAGTTAAACTCAGTACCTAAAAAAAAGTTAAAGTTAAGATTAAAAACTAATAGAACTTAATCAAAGAATATTGATTTTAAACATTTTCTGGTTGAGGCTTTAGAACCTTTAAATATGTCGAAATAACTTCGAATAGTATTATAGGATGAAAACATTCTGTAAAGAGGAGAGTGATTCCCGAGTCTTGTCTTACAGGGGGGCAGTACAAAAGTCTTTTGCAGCCGGCTATTATTTCTGGGAAATGAAAATTTTATATGCTCTAAAATATCTGGTACGTCGCTGTGACCATGGATTAATTTGAATAAAAACATTATATCAGAAACCTTCCTACGGCCATGTAGGAGGGCTAACCCATAATGTGTTGTGCGCGTCTGATAAGAGCGAAGTAGTTTACAATGCCATCTGAAAAAGCTAAGTGGTATAAAAATCTTTTTTTTACAAGTTCAACTCTGTTGGAATGTATTTGGTACCCCGGATTCCAAACAAGACTAGCGTATTCCAAAATGCTGCGCACTATACTGTTGTAGATAAGAATAGTGATTTGGGGTTCCCTCAGAATTTTCGTTTGACGAGTAATAAAACCAGTTAGTTTGGATAATTTTTTAACAAATGAGTCAATGTGAAACCTGAAACATAGTGAACTGTCCATAATAACTCCTAGATCTCTAATTTGAGTAACCTCTGTAATGAGGACGCCCTGGATAAAGTAGGCTGCGCTGGTAGCCTGTGTCTTTCTACTAAATTTTAAATGAAAGCATTCACTGATATTCAGTTACATACCGTTGCGTCCACACCATTCTATTACGCTATGTATGTCGGACTGAAGGATATTTATATCCTTTGAAGTGTTTACAGCACTGTATTCTTTTAGATCGTCGGCATAAAGTTTGAATTTGGATTTTATAACTCCAGCAATATCATTGATAAATACTAGAAAAAATAAGGGCCCCAAGTAAGACCCTTGTGGTACACTTGAGGGTATAGTCCTAACTCTAGATTTATATCTGTGTATAGCAACCAACTGGGATCGATTTCTCAAGTACTACTCGCACCATCTCAAGAGTGATCCGTGCACACCCATGTATTCTAGCTTTTGAAGTAAGAGGTCATGATTCACAAGGTCAAAAGCCTTTCTAAAATCTGTGTATACAGCATGAACTTCGCCTCTATTGTCGAGAATATTACATAGGTAGTTAACATACGATAAGAGATTAGAAATAGTTGACTTACGAGGCAAAAATCCATGCTGCTCCGAACTAAGAAGACCTTTAACATGGTTGTAAAGATGTTCCTGAACAAACGATTCAAGAATTTTACCGGGTGTGGACAAAATCGAAATGGGCCTGTAATAGGCTAGTTGACACTTTTTGGAAAAAGGTTTTAAATGGTTAATAAATGTTCTATTAGAAAAAAAATGTATTGTATTTTTTTTAAACCTAGAAAGCTACAAATCTTTAATTTTAAAATAGACTTTTCATGGACATACAAAAACGCTGTCGGCCATTTTAGTCTATAGATTATGTATGCTATGACGTGAACTGTGGTAAACAAAAACTCGTAAACACGTAGAAAATTACTTTTAACTGAGTTTATAATAAAAAAAAATGGGTGCGTGTACTTATGTAGGCGCGTGAGAAGTTATCCTTCTTTGGCATCGTTTAAAATTAGTTTTTAATTGCATGCAAATAATTAATTACAATAAATTAATAAAAAGTCTGGAAAAGGACACAGTCAATAAAGTTCAGTTTTAATTTGAAAAAATAAATAAATAATCAAAATATTCAATTAACATCGCTACTGAATATAATTTATTAGAACATATGTGATTTGCACTTGTATGAAACTCAAACACGTATTCCGAATATACAAACTAGAAACATGTGGATAAATATTATAAATATGAATACCTATAACTGTTACTTTATTACAAAAAATAAAGATGTGGTTTTTGGTTCTACTACACCAATGGTCAAGAGATGGCGCTGTAGTCTCCTGAATCGCGCTTTGGTTCCGTTGTTCCAGATTAATAAATACTTTGGATATTATAAATATGAATATCTATAACTGTTACTTTATTACAAAAAATAAAGATGTGGTTTTTGGTTCTACTACACCAATGGTCAAGAGATGGCGCTGTAGTCTCCTGAATCGCGCTTTGGTTCCGTTGTTCCAGATTAATAAATACTTTTGATAGGCCTTCACAATGCAGTCGTTAGCACCCACTAAATAGAGATTCTATTTCTATTTTGTTGGTAGATTTTCTTAATGTGCGGTAAACACAAAAGTAACGCATGAAGTTGGTCGCTAAAGCGACCGTGCAGTGATGCGCGTGCATCTTAAAATTTCACTCTCATCATTTTTTCATAACGCGCCTAAAGAAGTATAACTTCAAAAACATGATTTCTAATAAATACCACGAAAAATAAAGTAATTATCATTACTGTATTGTACGAGAATATAAAAACACATCCTTGAAGACTTCAGGAAAGTTGTGGATTAAAGTGCCGAAAGAAATTAACCTACGCAACTTTATTACACTTATTCATATGTTGTATCAGTTTTATGTTTATTACTACATTGATGTCGATTCTGGCATGATTCTCTAAAGCTAAACTTAAATTTGACAACAGTGCATCTCTGTCATTCTCTATCAAAATGAAAAGGAGAGACTGATGTTAAATTTAGTTTTAAGTTTAGAGAATAACGCCAGAATCGATACCATTGTAATACTAAATGCACTGTACTTACATAGATGCCTTGTCGTTTCTCTGCTCCGCAGAGCAGAAATCGGGGTTTAGTGCAACAAATTCACCAACCATCAATGCGTCAATTCTTGGCAGATTTGTGCTTTCTGCTTTCACAAAGCCGGCATCCATAATTAGTTTTGTCAAAAAAAACTAAGTTTACTGTTTTTTTCTTTGCTAGAGTTAAAAGTGTTTTAAGATAAATTTAGTCAGACGAAAGAATCCACCTACAGTAACACGCGAATGACATTTAGTTGTTTACCACAAGAGACGTCAAAATCATGGCGGATGTGGCGAACAGCGTTTTTAGTGTTTAAAAAATATAGACTAAGAAATGTTTTTTTAAATTAAATTTCTACAGCAATCTTCTGCTTTTATGAAGTGAAATCGATATATTATGGTTCCTTAGACTAAATACTTTAAGAAATAAACATTTATTTAATACAAGTCGACATGAGTAAACTAGCGTATTGCTAACATCGTTTATATCACCGTCTTTGTGAATTGGTGTGATATAAGCAACCTACCAGTAAGCAGGATAAATTCCGGACTTCAAGGAGAAGTTAAATATTTGAGTTAAAGGTTGTATTAGGTATTTAGCGCAGCATTTGTAAAAAACTGGTGGTAAAGAATTTGGCCCGGTTCGATAACGGACATGGTTCCAAAATTGTTAAGGAAACGTTCCAGGACATGATTTGCGCCTGCCTAATTGATACCTACATAGTAGTTAGAGCATTCGGCCTGCTATCGTAGAAGTTAAGCAACTTTCGTAATAGAAATAGATGGTCATTGGATGGTTGACTAAAAACTTATTATAATCTTGAACTCTTCCGTGCTTTGGAAGGCCCGTTAAGCCATTGGTTCCTTTACATCGGGCCCCGTGACGTAGGTCATGTACGGTCTAATTTCTTTATTACTTTCAAATCATCAGGGAAGTCATGTGCTGTGTCCCGATGGAGATAATGATGATGATCCACAATACTGTTTTTTAGGTGCACATGCAGGTTCTATGCTTGGTACATTGTGTCTTAAGTAAAATTATGTGCATGAATTTGGAGTGCACTAATGAAATGCAAGTGCCATATCTTCCCTTTTTTTATTTAATCTAAGTTTGGTTAAAACTAAATTTAAATTGTGACCGTGCAAAATAGGTATAAATAAAAGATTTATATTACTCTTTTCAAGCTATCATCATTACTTATAAGTGTGAGGCCTTATTCATCATATAAACAACTCGATTTATAATTAAAATAATATTAAAACCGATGTGTATTTATTTATTGATAAATATATTATAATTAAGTATATAAAGAGAATTACAACTACCTTATGTCTAAAAACGTAAAAACTATAAATAACTAAGAACTTAAATATACAATTTACAAAATATAAAATATATCACCCCCAGCGCCGCCGTCAGGAATGGTGCCCAATAGGCTGGCAGCATTTCCACGTTGGATAGCGAGGCTAATCCGTTGGCCGAGGTAGCTGCCAGCCTTTTGATCACCGGTCACCTCGGTGAGTCTCTTAGACAATTCCTTGAAGAAGGAACGAGCACTTGGACCCCGTGGTCCCATGGTCTCCACACCAAATGGCACAAATATGTAGCTCTCATTGAGAGCTGAATATTTGCGCCGCTTGGAGCACTCGGCGGAGGCCGCCGCCGCGCCTGCAGCCAGGGAGGTACTACTTGTATGGCACGGAGCAAGCGTATCCACGCAAGTTGCGTCCCACACAAGAGGACGACCCTGCTTCCAGGGAATGAGCGTCATTCCGTCAGGTCTCTTACCATCGTCTCGGAAGATGCCGCTGGGCTCTAGGGCCGCTGGCACATTGACTGCGACAAGAGCTCTGCGGATCACGTCATTGATGCAGGCGTGACGGGAGACTCGACCAGCGCTCATTTGGCATGAGAGACCATGGTGTCCCAACTCACCGACGCGAGTTCCGCAACGACAACGATGGGGGTGATTTGTCTTGACGCCGAGTCTGAGTGAAATGGCAAGTGATAGAGAACTTCTGTCAAGCAGAGTCCCGATATTGGCTGAAGGAAGAGCTTGCAGCCAGTAACCAGACTCTACTTGAAAGACCGCTAGGAGGCGAGCACGCTCAGCTGCGTTTTCAGAGGAAGCTAGAAGATCACTCTGAAGACGCAAACAGAGTGGCTCGTCCCATTGCCTCTGTGAAAATAAGGAGGAAGGTATATCTACTCCCGGGCATGCCCTGCACCAAGCATTCCTGGCCTCTGCAAGGTGAGCCGGCTCCACTACGCCTAAAGAAGGACATAGTATTTTATTAAAAAGCTCGGCTGTACCATTTGCAGAAGACAGAAAAGAGGGAAGGGCAATATGTGAAATATGGCGAGTACCAAGTCCTCCGAAACGAACAGGGAGAGAGGCCTGCTTCCAGGCGTTATCAGAAAATGAACAATTTAGAATTTTGGAAAGTGTATCCCTGAGCGAACTGTCAATAGATGACAGTAGCCCTGGAAAAAGCCAAAAATGAGTACTACGTAAAAAATATATGAATTTTGGGGCAAAAGCGCAAAAACGTATTAAATACAAAGCCATGTGAGGATTAATTTTTAACATTTTTTCGGAGGACTGCTGAAATTTAGAAATTTGTTCATCAATAAAAATCGGAATAGCATCGTCAAATATGGGGGACCCTAGGAGACGGAGTGATTTATTATCTAGAATTTTAATATTAGGAGCTAAAGCCGAAAATTCGGTAATAATGCGTTGTAACTGATCCTGTGAAAATTTTGATTCTGGTATAAATAGTTCGCATTTTGAATAATTTAGATCAAGGCCAATATTTTTAAATTTATCAATAATTATGTCAAAATCTGAAAGAACTGTTGAAATATCGCCAGCGATAGTTCCGTCATCAAGGTACCACACATTAAATTTTGAATTTAGCGAATCAATAATAGGTTGTATTGCCAAACTAAAGATAGCGGGCCCGAGAGGATCGCCTTGCTGACAGCCAACAGATGAATGCAACAGGTTGTTTTTAAAAATAAGTTTAGTCGGTTCGCTGTAGCATTGCCAAAGATATTTATAAATAGTGGGCGTTTTTTCTTTAATCACTGTAAGCAAGGCACCTCTATCTACGGAGTTGAAGGCATTCTTGACATCCACCTTCAGCACCACCTCCGCAGCGTCAAGTGATAGAAAGGTGCGAAGAGCGTGAACGGCTGCTTCACAACCACCCTTGACGCCAAAACCAAGCTGCACCGGTTGGAAAACAGCTGAAACTGTCGGTAAAATATGTTGACAGCAAATTTTGGATGCTATACGACGAAGGGTCCAACAGCTATAGGGCGGATACCGCCATCTTTTTTCTTTAGAGCAATTAAGTTGGCCCCGTAAAGGATCTCGACAATGTCTTTAGGTACTTCGCCGGATAGCATTAAGTTTACCAAAAGAGTGATATTATGTAATAGGACTCTGCCAGCGTCACCTACTGAGATTGAAAGGAGGTCTTTTAAATGTTGTGGTGACAAACCATCTAGACCACTGGCAGCGCCACTTTTGAAGGAGTATATCGCGGCTGATACGTCAGAATCTTTGCTTATTAGATAAGCAAGTGTTGTTTCAGGTGGCGAAGGAAGGAGAAGAGTTGGTGCTGGAGGTGGGTGCTTGTCTTCAAGAGCACTAAGGGTCTCCTGGCAGTTGACGGCGACAACATCGTGGCTGAACAGTAGGTTTGCGGCTCCTCGGAGATCGCCATCGCTAATTTTTGATTCAATTAATTTTATAGAACTATTAGATTTTGGAGGCCGAGAGGGAGGAAAGACTAAAGAATTCACAGAAGGATTTAGGCGGCAGTTCTCCTTTATTTTTTGTGTTAGTGATGAACTAGTACTATTTGCATTAATATGTAAAATTCTATAGGAAAATGTTAGAAGTTCTGCCCAACTCTCAGGCGTGTTTACTCTAAGCACACGTTCGATACATTGTGATAAAGAAACAGCGACTGAGGGCCGTGCAGAACGAGGTATTCTTTTTATTCTTTTTAAAACCGATTAAGTTGTACTTTTTACTTCCCTATGTGACAGTTGACAGTTACACATACGTTCAAAACCTACTCTGTGAGTGTAATTTTTTACCCTGACGTTTAAACAAATTGTATGGAGTAAAAATGTCAACTTTGACATTGGTTGCACCTAGATACAGTGTACCGTAGGTTTTGCACGTGGCCATGAACACTGTCTGTATGAAAGGAATGAATTTGTGTTTGTATTTTTTGTTTAGCAATCTATCTTTACAAAATTGCATATCGCCGTACATTACCGCCGCTACAAAATATCATTAAACTAAACTCACAAGTTTAAAAAAATAAAACCTGCCTGACCTGTTTTCTTTGCAGTATTTATAAGGTAACTTTCTATTCAGGCGTGTGTCTAATTAGTCTAAATTAGAATCTTATGCGGATAGTAGGATTTAAATATTCTTTGGTGTTTATTCGTGTTTGTACTTTGAATTCTTAGCCTTAAGACCTTTGATAAATTTGAATTCCAAATTTACAACTTTTTCAAAGAACCTAATTTAGTTTTGAATTTATTAGTTTACTACTGTATCACTTTAACTGATAACAGCGTATAGCGATAATTTATCTCTTAAATAACAGTTCACTAATCAGTTACTCTCAGTTAGATATTAATTAGAGTTTTAGTTGTTAGTAGTTTCGTGAAGTTTAAAAGAACTTATAGTAATAAAGCTATAAATAATTCCTTAGTATTATCTAGAATTGTTTTTATAAATCCCTACAGGCTAAACATGGATAGCCAAAAGAAGCAATTGAAGGAATATTTTCCAGACTTGCCTTTTGGGCCACTGGATGGCTACAGGAAAAAAGCTTCCTTTGATTGGAGGCTTATGAAATTGGTATATGATAACTTGAAAACTATTCAGTTAAAGGTTTGTTTTGATTTTATATTTTTATGGTTCCAATATATTTCAATATTGAGTTTTTGATGAAAATATAATATATATTTTTCTTTCAGCATAAAATTTATACATTTATGAGGGAGCATCCATTGTTTAAACATTCCGATGTCACAGAATCATTAGATGAGCAAAGACATATTACAGTGAAACGCATGTATACTTATAACAATGAGAATTTCCTACCACTTGAACAGGTAAGCCACAAATTCTGCCAATATCTATACAGCAGTTCTTATTTGTCTAATAATTTTATTTACAATATTAATTACTAAAAGAGGTCTCTTTCTATTGAGAAACCTAGAACAACACCACATGGATTAAGGACAGCATATAGGACACACACAAACAACATGAAAATGACAAGAATGATTAGAATATTATAAAATAAAAGATAATGGTGTTGATTCTGACTTGATTCTCTAAACTTAAATCTAAAGTTAACATCAGTTTCTCCTTTTCATTCTGTATAGAGAATGACAAGGATACACTATTGTCAAATTTAAGTTTTAGATTTAGAGAATTGTGCCAGAATCGACACCGTTTACAGTTTTACAGAGTTATGCATTAAATTTTTGACCTGAATACTATGAACTTTATTTGTGAATAGGAGATCATTTAAACAAACAATTTAATTAATCATTGTCATATTAAAAAAATATAAGGATTTTAGACAAAAATTGTTTTAAAGCAATATGGATAGGTTGAAATAAAAAATGTACTTGGGCACCAGATATACGTCAACAGACTTGCCGGAAGGGCATTGAACTATTAATTGCAAGGGAGGTTGAAGAAAAATCTCACTCATGTAATGTTTTTAACACATTACATCTTTTGCACTGCCTGCAAGTATTTAGCAATGTTAAGATGGATTTGATAAATTGAGGCCCTCTCCTGCTTTAAAGTCTGTCTTAAGTTTTGTTCTTTTATTATTTATAAAAGCAAGGGTATTTTTTTTAGATTTTTGAAGAAAAAAGAGTTTTGTCTGCTGAGACAGAAGCCCTGTTCATGTTCGACAGTTCTTTAGCAGTGAAACTATCGTTAACTTTCCGAATGATCTCTAATACTATCCGAGGCTCTGGTCAGGACCATCACTATCAAATAGTCGAGGATCTGGAAAACGCCAGGATCGGTGGATGCTTTGCATTGACTGAAGTAGCACACGGATCGAATGCTAAACAAATGCGAACCACTGCTATTTATGTTCCTGAAAAGAGACAGTTTGTTCTCCACACACCAGATTTTGAAGCAGCAAAATTTTGGGTTGGATGTCTTGGTAAGGAAATAGCCATACATGTAATTACCTATAAATCATTTCACAATAATTCTAGTATAAACAAAACTTTTTCGGCTACCAAGTGTAGCTTTACTGAATTTAAGAGACTCGTGTGGTTTTTTGATCATCATATAGCCTTATCTTAAACCCTAACAAATTTCTTCATGTTATCTTTGTTTCTATCAGCATTGTTTTTCTATTACATAATTATCTTTTTAATATATGAAATTATTTGTTCCCTATCTATTGCTTTATCTGTTATTTTCATTATCACTTAAATCTATAGATCCAAAGTTCAGGATGATATAATATAAAGCATGATTTACCTCTGTGAAGTTAGCCCCCCACTTTTTGAATTTTATTATTATCTAGGTTGTTCTATGTTTGTTCTACATTGTTCCAAAGTATTATTTGAAAAAACTAAAATTTGAAGCTGCCAGACAAGAAAAACCGTTTTTCTATGGTAGCCCCCCATGTTTGGAAATTCAATATTTTTTTAGTTGTTCTAGTTGTTCCGAGCATTGTTCCAAAGTATTATTTGAAAATATTCAAATTTGAAGCTGCCAGACAAAAAAAACGTTTTTATGGTAGCCCCCCATGTTTGGAAATTCAATATTTTTTTAGTTGTTCCAAGTTGTTCTAGTTGTTCCTAACATTGTTCCAAAGTATTATTTGAAAATATTCAAATTTGAAGCTGCCAGACAAAAAAAAACGTTTTTATGGTAGCCCCCCATGTTTGGAAATTCAATATTTTTTTAGTTGTTCCAAGTTGTTCTAGTTGTTCCGAACATTGTTCCAAAGTATTATTTGAAAATATTCAAATTTGAAGCTGCCAGACAAAAAAAGACGTTTTTATGGTAGCCCCCCATGTTTTGAAATTCAATACTTTTTTAGTTGTTCCAAGTTGTTCTAGTTGTTCCTAACATTGTTCCAAAGTATTATTTGAAAAAACTCAAATTTGAAGCTGTCAGGCAAAAAAAAACCGTTTTTGAGATAGCCCCCCATGTTTGGAAATTCGTTATTTTTAAAGTTGTTCCAACTTGTTCTAGTTGTTCCTAACATTGTTCCAAAGTATTATTTGAAAAAACTCAAATTTGAAGCTGTCAGACAAAAAAAACCGTTTTTCAGATAGCCCGCCAAGTCAAGTCGTACTAGAGACGATAAATAAATCAACAATAATTTTAAACAATGACGATTGTATCAGTACAACCGTGGGCTATATCGTTCCAATTTCATTTAATCATTTTGAATAAAATTAATAGTTATAAGACAAGAAAACATTACACTATAGGGTAAACTCCCTAATTGTTGGCACTTTAAGAGTAGGTTCCATGTCAGTCAGACATTAAATTACCATAAAATCACATCTAAATGAGTTAGTACACAACACATGTAACAGTATCAAGGAAATATAGTTCAATCTTTGTTTTCATAATAGTACAGTCAATGAAGGCAAAAATCAGCTATAACCTCCGATTTCGATGAACCTCCATCGATTTTCATGAAAAATGGTGATGAGGTGGGGGATACCATATGAAACAAATGTAACATAGTGCCAACTTGCGCTTTTTCCCTAGGGGTAGATACCACCCCTTCTCGGGGGTAAAAATTATTTTAATAAAAATAACTCCAGGAATCGATTGAAAGACAAACTCTAAGCAAAAGTTGTTATATTAAGTTTTCGAAATAAATCAATACTTTCTGAGTTAATAATGATCAAAGATTGTGATTTTGCGTCAAAAAATTCATGTTTTAAGCGGTTTTTCATAAATATTTCAAAAGCTATGAGTTTAAAGAAAAATATATTATTACTAGACGCAACGAATATTCGGTTACTATTCGGTATTCGGCCTATTCGGCTGCTTTTATTATATTCGGCCGAATACCGAATACTTAAATAATATATTTTGTCATAGAGAAATAATTGGTAAAATGAAAATTAATATCGATTGATTACGTAGGTATATATTCATATTTTCATTTCTGTTATATATAATCATTAAAGTAGCCATTGGTACATAATCATCTTCTGAATTGGAAAAATGGAGGATTCTATGTATTTGAATTATTGTGGTAATCAAAATTTAAAAGGGTTTAAAATAGGTTTTAAAATTTAAAAGGTTCTCATTTCTTTTATAATCATTTTTTAAGTAGTCATTAGTACATAAAACAGGAACATATTTTAATCATTTTCTGTATTAAACAAATTAAGAATTTTTCTATGCATTTGAATTATTTTCATAATAAAAATTTAGAAGGGGAAGGTTATGGTGCAGAAAGACTAAATTTTCTGCATTTTTAGGAAGTAGTAGAAATTCTTTTTTTCTCGTACACCATCCCAGCTTCAGAGTAAAGGCGCTCTGAATAAACACTACTTCCTGGCGCCGACAAATATTTTGCTGCAATCTTAATCAAACACGGAAATTCAATTTTCCTTGCTGCCACCATGTATATGGGTTGTCATGACGTGATATATTACTAATATTTAAGAAAAGATCCATTTCTGTTGAAACTGCGTTTGACTCAATTGCACTGCAAACAAAGGGGCGCGAAACAATCACGTTTGTACAAGTTTATGGCGCTAAAATCCAGCCGAATACTTTTGCCTAATATTCAGCTATTCGGTCAGGGGCCTCGCCGAATATTCGGTATACTGCCGAATATACTATTCGTTGCAAGTCTAATTATTACCAAAATTGAAGCTAATAAAAAAAACAAACACCTTCTTTGAAAAACCTTCTTATATGAATTCAAAGTGAGCTATAGGTAATTGTATGTATATATTTTTTCGACGAGTACTTAAATCTAGGTTTCCAACACTAAATAACGGGAAACCTATGCATTTTGATGAATGGTTGGAATTATTTTTCGTTTTTCCTAAAAAAAATAAGTGTTATCTTATATTTATCATAACTTTTTCAATTTTGAAGCTATTAACTTTTTACAGTGCTCATTATAAAGGTATTTCTGAGGAATTTAAAAAGTGCTCCGGAAGTGTTTGTCATAAATTCATCGGTTTCCCGTTATTTAGGTTTGAATACTTAGATTAACTACTTGCCGAAAAAAATATATGTACATACAATTACCTATAGCTCACTTTGAATTGAAATTAGAAGGTTTTTCAAAGTAGGCGTTTGTTTGTTTTCATATTAGCTTCAATTTTGGTACTAATGTTTTTTTTGTAAAGCTCATAGTTTTTGAGTTATTTAGGAAAAACCGCTTAAACATGTATTTTTATCACGCAAAATCACAATATTTAATCTTTAATAACTCAGAAAGTATTGATTTATTCCGAAAACTTAATATAACAAATTTTACTTAGAATTTGTCTTTCTATCGATTCCTGGAGTTATTTTTATTAAAATAATTTTCACCCCCGAGAAGGGGTGGTATCTACCCTCAGGGCAAAAGCGCAAGTTGGCGCTATGTCACTTTTGTTTCTTATGGTATCCCCCACCTACTTACCAATTTTCATGAAAATCGATGGCGGTTCAACGAAATCGGAGGTTGCAGCTGATTTTTGCCTTCATTGACTATACCATTATGAAAACAAAGATTAAACTACTTTCTTTGATACTGTTACATGTGTAACATGTGTTGTGTACTAACTCATTTAGATGTGATTTTATGGTAATTAAATGTCTGACATGCTACCTACTCTTAAAGTGCCAACAATTAGGGAGTTTACCCTATATTCTAATGTTTTCTTTTCTATTAATTTAATTCAAAATGATTCAATGAAATTGGAACGATATAGCCCACGGTTGTACTGTTGTTGTACAATCGTCATTGTTTAAATTGATTTTTGATATATTTATTGTCTCTGGTAGGTACGATTGATTTTATTTTATAAATAAAAGTTTTTTTTTGTCTTACAGCTTCAAATTTTATTTTTTTCAAATAATACTTTGGAACAATGTTAGGAACAACTAGAACAACTTGGAACAACTTTAAAAATAACGAATTTCCAAACATGGGGGGCTATCTCAAAAACGGTTTTTTTTGCCTGACAGCTTCAAATTTGAGTTTTTTCAAATAATACTTTGGAACAATGTTAGGAACAACTAGAACAACTTGGAACAACTAAAAAAGTATTGAATTTCAAAAAAACATGGGGGGCTACCATAAAAACGTCTTTTTTTGTCTGGCAGCTTCAAATTTGAATATTTTCAAATAATACTTTGGAACAATGTTCGGAACAACTAGAACAGCTTGGAACAACTAAAAAAATATTGAATTTCCAAACATGGGGGGCTACCATAAAAACGTTTTTTTTGTCTGGCAGCTTCAAATTTGAATATTTTCAAATAATACTTTGGAACAATGTTAGGAACAACTAGAACAACTTGGAACAACTAAAAAAATATTGAATTTCCAAACATGGGGGGCTACCATAAAAACGTTTTTTTTTGTCTGGCAGCTTCAAATTTGAATATTTTCAAATAATACTTTGGAACAATGTTCGGAACAACTAGAACAACTTGGAACAACTAAAAAAATATTGAATTTCCAAACATGGGGGGCTACCATAGAAAAACGGTTTTTCTTGTCTGGCAGCTTCAAATTTTAGTTTTTTCAAATAATACTTTGGAACAATGTAGAACAAACATAGAACAACCCAGAACAACCTAGATAATAATAAAATTCAAAAAGTGGGGGGCTAACTTCACAGAGGTGCATGATTTGCATAATTTATTACCCCCATACAGTGATGTCTACTATAGTACGATAGTGATGTCTACTATTTGACGACCTCCATGGCCGAGTGGTTTGTGCGCCGGGTTTCATTTTGTCGCATTCTCGAGAGGTCCCGGGTTCGACTCCCGGTGGGGACAGATGTTTGTCTGATGAATACAAGCAATTGTACTCTAGTCATGGATGTTTAATATGTATTTCTATATAAATATACTTATATATGTACAGTATATGTATTCTATCTGTTACCCTAGTATCCCATAACACAAGCCTACAGTGCTTACTTTGGGGCTAGGCTAATTGGTGTGAGTGTTGGAAATATATATTATTATAGTGGTTACAACTTGACATACACTTAATCTTGTAACAGAGCTAGAATAATTTTCATAGAGCAAGGACACTATTTATTGTCATTTCATCATACAAACATCAGGCCTCCACCGAACAAAATAAACATGAAGATAATAAGTGGTTTATTTAGCATCTCTCAATATGGTGAAATATTGAACTTCATTTAACTAAACCTTGAACCTGATAGTTTGCATTAAAGCAGTATACATTGAAAATGTATTTCAAGCTAGTATAATGAATTCAAAATGCTTAATCATTGACCACTTTACATATGAATAAACTATAGTAACTTCAAAATAGGTGCTTCTACTAAATCGACATTTACTTAAAACAAAATGTCATTTGACATAGCAAACTTTCAAAATTTGCATAAACTGTTGTCTGTACTCTTGATATGAATGTATACACTAAGGAAACAATAATTTACAGGAAAATGCGCCACGCACGCGATCATATATGCAGTACTGATCTCAAATGGCAAGAACCATGGTCTTCACACCTTCGTAGTCCCCATCAGGGACCCGGTCACTCTTAAACCATTCCCGGGAGTCACGGTTGGTGATATTGGTGAGAAGATCGGGCTCAATGGAGTTGACAATGGGTAAGATTAAGATGTTAACGCGCGTGACATCGCATGTCGCTAGTGTTTTAGATAAGGCAAACCAGACTTTATGTATATGGTCTATGTATATGAACTAAGCGCCAAGACTACAACTATGATGAGTAGTCATCATAGTTGTAGTCGTAGGACTATTTTGTAAATATTGTTACAAAATTATTTAACGCTGTGAAGTTTTTGAAGTGAAAACTTCTTTAGCGGCGTTGTACACTATTTTTGTATGGGTAAAAAATGTTAAACTCGCGTCAGGTTAAACACGTGGGCTGATCGCATCATGACACACAATAAAATTGGAAAGGTTGTTGACTTTCAATATAATTGACGAAACATAGTAATATTTTATTTTATCGTATTATAATAATAGGACGTCCACGTGGCAGCTTTATTGTGAAGAAAATGCATTTTTTTTACAATAGATAAAAAAAATGCATTTTCTAGGTGCGCTTAAATGTGATTCATGTAAGTTGATTTCTTTACAATAGATAACGCTAAGTGCGCTTAAACGTGATTCATGTAAGTTGATTTTTCTGAGAGATAAACTTTTGTAATAGGGAAGATGCATATATAATATTTATGAACGTTTTATGATTAAAATGTTAAAAAAATATAAAAGAAATGTCACTGCAGCGTTATTATTTTACGTAATGTTGTTTTTTAACAATTATTACGAATTAAAAACACTTGAAACAGAACGTATTTTAAAACACCAATCAGCGTTTAGTGACGTCACTCCTGTTATGACAACTTCTTTGAGGTTATGGTTGTTAAAGTAAATAGTATTTTATGGGAATATTAATTGCGTTTTTATATTAAATAAAAATGGAAGTTGCGTTTATCAAAGCAGACTCCAGGAATTTACCAAGAGTTAGTGTTGACATGGTTATAACTTTTTTTGTCCAAAGTGCAGAGTTTTTAAGTGTAGAAATGAAAGGGACTAAATTACTACGGTCTGTAAAAATCGTAGTTGTTAAACTTCGTATTTTATTCAGCGGCTTCTACAAATCTTACGGCGATAATGCAATCGGCTATGTCCAAATTAAAAGAGATGGAGAATTATGTACAGTAAAAGGTCGAGTTCCCCAGAGCATAAAGTACGTAAAGAAGGTTATCGTGTTACAGTTATTTTAAATGAAACGCAAAGCTTGGTTCAGTCCTGCCAATGTGAAGATTGTGCAACATATTTTAAAGTTTATCTAATTTTCGACGTCATTCTCCAACTGTAAAATTAAAAATATGTTATAGAAAGGTTTTGTATTAGGTAGGTTACAAATGCGTTTTTACGTACAAGCAGATTAATTAACCATATAACAAGTATATTCGCCGACTTACGTCAAAGTGATCTTCACAGCATCGAATAATGGTCTTTGGAGAATAATTGTTATTTCTCTTCGCAGCTTGAAACCACTTTTTTTTTCAGTTTTGGGTCAGAAGGTCCAGTCAAAAAAAAAATATTTGGAAACTTTGTTGAAGTAGATTGGCACAAAACATCACGTCAACGAGTCGACACGACTTCTTTTCGGAATATTAGTGGTATTGTTATAAAAAATATTTCGAAAGTCGAAAAAATATGCAAAAGTATGGAAATTTAAAGCCAGCGACGAACAAGTACGACCAGTGACAGACAGGAGTGACGTCATCGCAACCATAGGTTCGTTTTCGCGCGAAAATTTAAAGTGTCAATTTAAAACCGCATTTTTTCCGATATATCACAATGTTTTAATTTTTTAATATATCTGTGGTTTATTCTACATGGAATTCTTTAAAATGAAAACAAAAATAAAAATATTGCATCTTCCCTATTTTATATAAATTGTCATGTTTGTGTACGATAACGCAATAAATAAATATTGTATTGTACCACATACATGATAGTACTTTTATACTGATAATTGAAGCAATTTGTGCAAAATTATACCTTATAGTCGTGGTCAAGTCACAGTGGGTACAGATAGACCCAGCTCAGGGGGGTCATGACCCCCCCACCCCCTGAATCCGCCCTTGGTGGCAGCATATGCTGAGGCAGGGTCCTTATTGCCTATCTTAGACTATGTTCTTTTCTATTGTTCGTTAGATTAAGTTTTCTTGTATTTTTTGATGTGCAACATATTTCCTCTCGCTTTCGTGCAATTTGTGGGAGTGATTACGTGGAGTGGGACGGAAGTGTGTAACAGGAAGTTTGGGAAGCGCGCGCTATTTGATTTGATTTTAGAACATAATGTTCAAATGGCTTATTCCTTTTGTAGTAGGTTTTTTTTTTTTTACTAATATAAGGTGAGGTTTCGAATGTTACACATCATACGCGACTACTGTAAGGCCCGCTCGTTTTTTTTTGTTGTATTTATAAGTTTTTTTTTGTTAAGATGGCCAATAAAGTTTTTTATTTCATTTGCTTAGTACAGCGTTTTGTTTTTCGGTTAGTTTTGTAATGTTCGACAAGTACCATGTGCCCAAAGAGGCGGCACTGGACAAGTTGGGCGGAGTTGATGACGCCGGCAACTACACTACGCCCTTCAAGGACCCCAACAAGAGGTTCGGCGCCTCCATGGGGATATTGTCAGGTGAGTCATCATCATTATCAGCCTATTAATGTCCCCAATCCTGGGGTTTTTTGTTTATCAATGTAAAAAAATCTAGCTCTACAGTGTCTAGACTTGCCAAAAATTATAACGCTTTGAGCCACAGTATCGATATTTACAACGATAGCATTCGATCATACAAGTCAAAAATTTTAAAACTCTCCTTCAGTATAGAATATTATAAGAACTTTTAACAGCTTTATTTGCTCTTTTAATCATGTCTCAGTATAATTAGTTTTTATTTTTTATCTCATTTGAATTTTATGTTTGTGTTGATGAATTGTTGTTTGGTAAGCTGACTATATAATTTTTTTCATACCCAATTTTAAGCATGCTGTGGCAAGTAAAAACAGTGCTCTTAATTATAATATAATATAATAAAATTATTAATATAATTCTTCTCATTAGCTTATTGTATTGTAACTATTACTGATTGTCCTTAAAATAAATAAATAAATCGAGAAATAAAACTAAATTATATACCGTAAGTGAGGGTTACTTTAGCTCGGGCGGGTAACTTTGTCCCAAATAAGAAAAAATATTGAACTTGCCGCCCCATCAGTATCTCTTGGGTGACCGTAATAGTTCCAGTTGAAAATCACAGATAGCCATATAGGCGCGTAGTGTGGTGTTGTTTTACCGACATCGTTCCTGTATCAAGTTGTCATTGTAACGCGGGATTTTTTGTTACTGAAATAGTTCGCAAGTTCATGCGCAAACTTTCTCAAAACTGTGGTTTTCGGTAAGTTTACTATTTTTTCTAAATTTAAAGTTATATTTTTTATTTAACTTAATTTGTGTATTCAGTATGCTAATGGTGATCTGTTATAAGGGTTCCTTATCCCCAACATGGCTTAAAATGAGTTTTTATCACAGAGGAAACTCAACGGGCTAAAGTAACCCTCTTTAAGGCCAACTTTGGCCCAAAATTAAAAAAATATATACTAACCATTAAATATTATTTTTTGCTATTTTCGTATGATAACTTTGTAACTTATACTTTAAAGTTCAAAATGGCAAGATATAAACGTGACATATTCATCACAAAGAGAAGCTACAATTTTATTTGAAAAAAAAGTGCACATTTTAGGTCAAAGTAACCCACAGTTACTCGGTATCTACAAATATGGGATTTTTATTGACATTTTCTTAACTGATTACTGAACCACCATCATAGTTTCTTTATCAAACAAGATTTAAAGTCCTAACAATTCAGACAAAGACAAATGTAAATCATCATCATCCTATTAATGTCCCCACTGCTGGGGCACAGACCTTCCCTATGGATGGAATAAGGAGATTGGGCCATGATCCACCACGCCGGCCCAGTGCGTGTTGGTGGATGCTAACGTGCCTTGGACCAATGGCCTAACGTGCCTTCCGAAGCAGGGAGGAGCTGGAGTTAGTAAATTTTTGGTCACCCATCCAATGACCGACCACTGCGAAAGTTGCTCCACCAGCGCCATCGAGCTCTTCGGGCCAGGAGAGTATGTGGTAGAAAATGTTCTCATAGTTATGTTTTTTTTTCACTTTATCAACTTATCATAAAAAGGTGTGCAAACTGTACATTCTTTATTGTATCGCAATGTTTTGTCTCGTAGGTGGTCGAGTGCACATCACGACCATCTCCACGGCGTACCTTCAGAAGGCCATAGTGATTGCCATCAGGTACTCGGCGGTCAGAAAGCAATTCGGACCCGAAGACAGCGATGATGAACTGCCGGTCCTGGAGTATCAGCAGCAGGTGAGAATTGGACTGTTTACCTTGTGTCAGTAGATATAATGATGAAACTCCCTTGCGTAACGAGGAGTGTAGTACCAGAGTAGGTCAGAGTTGGATTTTCTACCTTGTGTCGGTAGATATAAGGATGAAACTCCCTTGCGTAACGAGGAGTGTAGTACCAGAGCAGGTCTTTTGTTTTTTTTTTTTTTTTTCCTGTGTTATTCTCAAGTGTTTTATGTTTTTAATAAAAATGTAATTAATTATTAAGCATGAGCTTAAGTTCTGCGCCTCCCACACCACCCGTGTGTCGGCTTCGAGATGCTCTAGCACGGGTTGGGTGAGGATGGGGGGAAGAGGGGGTAGAGGACGGCATTTACAGAAAGAGAATAGTAAGACAGTATAGAAAGAGGACAGAGAAAAATAAAGAAGTGATATATACATAGAATTATACCAGAGCAGGTCAGAGTTGGATTGTCTACCTTGTGTCGGTAGATATAAGGATGAAACTCCCTTGCGTAACGAGGAGTGTAGTACCAGAGCAGGTCAGAGTTGGATTGTCTACCTTGTCTCGGTAGATATAAGGATGAAACTCCCTTGCGTAACGAGGAGTGTAGTACCAGAGCAGGTCAGAGTTGGATTGTCTACCCTGTGTCGGTAGATATAAGGATGAAACTCCCTTGCGTAACGAGGAGTGTAGTACCAGAGCAGGTCAGAGTTGGATTGTCTACCCTGTGTCGGTAGATATAAGGATGAAACTCCCTTGCGTAACGAGGAGTGTAGTACCAGAGCAGGTCAGAGTTGGATTGTCTACCCTGTGTCGGTAGATATAAGGATGAAACTCCCTTGCGTAACGAGGAGTGTAGTACCAGAGCAGGTCAGAGTTGGATTGTCTACCTTGTGTCGGTAGATATAAGAATGAAACTCCCTTGCGTAACGAGGAGTGTAGTACCAGAGCAGGTCAGAGTTGGATTGTCTACCCTGTGTCGGTAGATATAAGGATGAAACTCCCTTGCGTAACGAGGAGTGTAGTACCAGAGCAGGTCAGAGTTGGATTGTCTACCTTGTCTCGGTAGATATAAGGATGAAACTCCCTTGCGTAACGAGGAGTGTAGTACCAGAGCAGGTCAGAGTTGGATTGTCTACCTTGTCTCGGTAGATATAAGGATGAAACTCCCTTGCGTAACGAGGAGTGTAGTACCAGAGCAGGTCAGAGTTTGATTGTCTAACTTGTGTCGGTAGATATAAGGATGAAACTCCCTTGCGTAACGAGGAGTGTAGTACCAGAGCAGGTCAGCGTTGGATTGTCTACCTTGTCTCGGTAGATATAAGGATGAAACTCCCTTGCGTAACGAGGAGTGTAGTCCAGAGTTGGTCAGCGTTGGATTGTCTACCCTGTGTCGGTAGATATAAGGATGAAACTCCCTTGCGTAACGAGGATCGAGGTCAGAGTTGGATTGCATACATTATGTTAATAGATATAAAAAAGAAAAAATCACGAATACAGGACCGGATTTAAGGCAGGACTGTGGCCTAGGGTACCCCACGACAGAGATACTAACTAATGTGGAGTCATTTGTCTGATCTAGCTATAAAAAAAGCAGAGAACTGTCATCCTAATCTCCGTGGCCGAGTGGTTTATACGCCGGGTTTCAAGGTGTCGCTTACTCGAGAGGTCCCGGGCTCGAATCCCGGTGGGGGCAGATGTTTGTGTGATGAATACGAGCATTTTTACTCCTTTCTATATAAATATACTTATATTTGAGTCAGTAATGTATTCTATCACAAGCCATACAGTGCTTACTTTGAGGGTAATTGGTGTGAATGTTGAAAATATTTATTTTATCCTTACATCTACTTGCACAAGTAAAACAATTTGTTTTTTTTTACCTGTTACTGGTGTAATGTGATTCAAATTGAACGACGGCTGTGTAATTAGCGTAGGTCGCAGTACAGTAAATGAAATGCGAAAAAGAGCTTTATGAATGTGTCAAAAAAAAAAACTAACGCCACCATCTTCGTAATGCTAACCTCATATTTTGTATGGCATTTTCGTAGACAGCAGCTTGAACTGTCACTCCATTCATTAAGATCCTTGTACTTTAAGCTGAAATTAGACGTTTCATTTTTGCTTTGAAATGACTAAATTGAAATAGCAATATAGTTATAGTTTTTTAAGCATTTAACTGCTAGATGTTTAAATATAAAGAAAATTTACTAGAAAAAATTCGACGCGGATCAGCCATCATACGGGACTCGAACTCGCTATCGGGGCGAATGTCAGTGCATTATGCTACCGCGGCCCTGATGGTCAATGTTGCGTGGATTTTTTTCTAGTTATATATTCGACGACCTCCGTGGTCGAGTGGTTTGTACGCCGGGTTTCATGGTGTTGCCGACTCGAGAGGTCCTGGGTTCGAGTCCCGGTGGGGGCAGATGTTTGTGTGATGAATACGAGCATTTGAACTCCAGTCATGGATATTTAATATGTATTTTCTATAAAAATATACTTATATATGTACAGTTTATGTATTCTATCCGTTACCCTAGCATCCCATAACACAAGCCTTATAGTGCTTACTTTGGGGCTAGGCTAATTTAGTAGTAGTTATTTGTTTTTTGTTACAGCAAATCAGATTGTTGCCCTACTTGGCTGCCGTGTACGCAATGAGAGTGTTCTGTAACTGGTTCAGTGAGGCACACACCACCATGGTCGTCAATAACTACATGGGTAAGTTTGTTTCTTAGGTTTTCCACGCACATTACCCATTAAATAAAAAAAGTTTTTACGGTATCGTCATCATCAGCCTATTAATATCCCCACAGCTGAGGCACAGGCCTTCGCTATGGATGAAATAGGGAGATTGGGCCATGACCCAGCACCGTACCGTACTTTAAGGCAAAAAGAAAGAATTAACTTAGCCTTTTCATTTCTTTGAAGAGAAAACCTCTTTAGCGGCGTTGTACACTTTTTTTGTATGGGTAAAAAATTTTAAACTCGCGTCAGGTGGTTATACACGTGGGCTGATCGCATCATGACACACAATAAAATTGGAAAGGTTGTTGACTTTCAATATATTGGACGGAACATAGTTATATTTTATTTTACCGTATTATAATAATAAGTCTCTATCTAGGACGTCCACGTGGCAGCTTTATTGCGAAGAAAATGCATTTTTTAGGTGCGCTTAAATGTGATTCATGTAAGTTCATTTCTTTACAATAGATGTCGCTAAGTGCGCTTAAACGTGATTCGGGTAAACGACTAAGTGTAAATGAATTGATGATTGGTGGGTGCTAACGACTGCAGATGCAGCCGGGACCAACAGCTTGACGTGCCTTCCGAAGCACGGAGGAACTCGAGATAGAAGATCACCTATCCAATGACCGACCACTGCGAAAGTTGCTTAACTTGAACGATCGCAACGCGCTAACCACCTGCGTCATCGAGCACCTCCTTTTTCTATATTTATACAATAGACATATGTTATATCATAAATGTCAGTTGCGCCGTTGCCTAGGGTGTACCAAACCCCTCTCCCGTGGAAACCTGAAACCTTGTACAATGACCGCACCTGCTGTATATCTCTGCACCGAAATACGAGTGCCAATGGAATAATTCGGGTAAATGACTAAGTGTAAATGAACAGCACCCTTAGTACGAATTTGAGCTCACGAAAACTATCATAATTTTCGTAATTGTAAATTATGTTTTATGTCCATTTTGGTGAAAAGTAACCAAATATACCTACTTAAAATTTAAGAAGACGAAAATGATTTAATGATAGAATTTAAACACTGTTTTTTATTTGTATTGTAACGAAAACTATAAAATCAGTACCATTAGTACGAGTGCGAGCTCACGAAAACTATTATAGTTTTCGTAATAGGGTATTTGACAAGTTATAGGCAACGATCTCACGTTATCGACTAATATTTATGGAGTCCATAAAAAGTGGATATTCATCATTCTCTTGTGTATTACAGCAAAAATTACCAAATCAAAATACTCCATTTTCGAGTTGCCGCGAAAACGTTACTCTGGACAATATGGCGTCTTACTAGTGTGTGACGTCACACGACTGTTATTAAAACGTCAAACGATACCATGTAATGTCACTTTAACCGGAAGTTTACTTGCGTGTGACGTCATTTTAGGCTCCGCCAATCCCTAGCGTTTTGGGTCACGTGACAATAGATAGGAAAACTATTATCTTTTTCGAGGGTTTTTAGTAAAAATATGTATATTTTTTTTTTTTGGAAAAATAGTAAAAACCCCTTCCAATATTCAATCTGAACACAGATGCTAACAATTGGCACTTTATTTTTAATACTGTCAAATACCCTATTGTAAAACTCGTACTAAGGGTACTGAGTCAAAACCGCCCGAATTTGGGTAGATCCTTTTATTTACCCGACACTGTCATCCAGTCCGTATTCCAGTGTTAATATTGCTTCGGGTGTTGTTGTGTTATTTTACTGTGGTCGATTCGTATATGATTTACTGACTGCGTTGTTGATAACAAAGGTCTTTAACAGAACGAGCCATATTGACATAGTTTCTTTGTTATTAAGAGGTCATAAGTGCAACATACATTCTGATTTATTGTTCCGACGTTATGTCTTATAAGTTATCGACTTTGCCAGGAATTAATTATTTGGATGTACCGACTCTTAGCGCAAAAACATATATTAGCTTATTTTTACCACGACGCGCAGTAGCGAAACTTACCAAAAACATTACAGCATTTTTTATCAAAATTTAATTTGTATAACTTATGTGTCAAGTTACTATAATTTCAGCTTTTCTAGCCATTAAGCATAATGGGCCATCCAATCGATTAGTGACTGTAGTTAATGCTGGGCTTGATTATGGCATGATTCTCAAAACTAAACAAAATTTGATAGCAGTATCTTCTTTTCATTCTGTGTAAAACATGAAAACAAATACATTGCTCTTTATATCTGAAGAAAAGTTTACTAGAAAAAACTCCGCACGGACCAGGCAGCTGATGGGACATTTCCTAGTAAACTTTTCTTTAGATTGGAACGTGTAGCAGTTAAATGCTTAAAAAAATATAACATTGCTGTATATTATATTTACTATTTTATAGTTGCCTGGAACCTTACTCACCTACAGAAACACAACACTACCAAAAGGTAGTTATTTTTTATAACATTATCGAATTCGAATAGTTTGCAACCCGAAATGTCAATGTCAAATTATGTATGGAAACTTGAACAGCAGCGGCACAAAGTACGTAACGAGAACTTAAAATCAGTACACATTTGACAATGACATTTCGGACTCGCAAACGATACGAATTCGATATTGGTTCGTCCTAAGGGCACTGTAAGGTGGAGGTTACTCCCCCAGACGGGCGCTGCAATTCAAGTGGGAAATGCGCTATGCCCTGCCTCTCTTAAATAATTAGTAAAGTGCAATGATAATATTGTGCTATGGTTGTCATTGGACATGTTCAAAATGTTCGCGTGAGGAAATAATAAAAAATCAGTGTACAGATAAGTTACAAATGGTCGGCACGAATTACCTACCCGAGTTGTAGTACCTACATAAAATGACGTAATTATATTTCTTAAACCAATTGTAAATTTAAAAAAAATGTTTTGTAATAGGTCTGGCTTTTTATTATGTCATAACTAGAGATCGGATAATCGGGTGCACATTTAGCTAAATTTATTTTTCCGCTAACAAATTATGGAAGCAGCTTCTAAGCATAGTTTTATTTATAAATGTATATTTATTAACTTAATTCCCATTCCAGTATGTGTTTATGTAAGGTGTAAGAGAAATTGAGGTATTGGTTAATAAGAAAATGTAAATTTATTTATTCATTCAGGTCAACCATATTACGTTGTAACATGGCAACTGTCATTTGTATCAAATTGGGTAGATCTCACGGAGTATACACTTAAATTAAAATTGAATTTCTCGGAATCGCGGGATTTTAGGATAAAAAAATGATTTCCATAATAGCCATCATATTATAATTTTTTGGTAAATATGCATCCGATCTCTAGTCATAACTTTTTTCACACAGTGATTTGGGTCACTCTAGGCTTAACGTAGCATTAATTTAACTTGACATTTCTGAGTACTGCAGCAAGACCTGTATAATCATACTTTGATATGAATTGTTATTGGCGTTTGTCTTGTCAAGTTGTCAGTGGCTCTTCTATAAATAAATAGATTGTCCATGTTTGAAACAGGCGTGGACGATAACGCTGCGTACCGTGGCATAGAGATGCATGCGCTGTCTTCGTGCGTAAAGCCGCTGTTCGGGTGGATGGCACGCGACGGCATACAGAACTGTCGCGAGGCGTGCGGCGGACACGGGTACCTCAAGGGTGAGTTGTGGGGGTAGGGTTTTTTAATAAGTGTATACAGGGTTAATTTTTAAAAAACCAACAACCACTTAGGGCGTGGTTCTACCCATCAACAGGAACAACTATTATTATAGGACCAACACTGAAATCGCGAAAAAAAATCAGCTGTTTCATACATATCGGTCGATTAGCTGATGCACTTTTGTATGAAACAGCAGATTTTTTTTCGCGATTTCTGCGTTGGTCCCGTAATAAAAGTTGTTACTGTTGATGGGTAGAATCACCCCCTAAGAGGTTGTTGGTGTTTTAAAATTAACCTTGTATATAACAAGGACTTTGCAAAAGAAGGAAAAGAACGAAAGTAGTAGATGTAACCCGTAGAGTGCGAACACTACAGTGTAAATGGACAGTCATGGGTTGTGGGGCCAGGTTTTATTATAAGTATATACCTCAAGGGTGAGTTCTTGGACCAGGGTTATAAAAGTCCTTTTATGACAAGCCTCAAGGATTCATCTTTTCAGCAACATCACATTATTATTATGGGACTGTCTGCAAAGTACTCTTAGGACTCCCCTCCACTCAGTGGAGGTCAGTCCTTTTTAGGCGTACGGGGGGCAGGGATACCTCAAGGGTGAGACATAGGGCCATAATTTTACTTCGTATGTGCATCATCATCAAATTATTAGACGCTAGTATCTCAAGTGTTTTATATAGCTCTACAGTACTACTACGTAGTTTAACTATGAACTAAACCCAGTAGATATCAGTCTTTAAATAGAACTGCTGTGAGGCGTGCACCTCACCTCAAAGGTGAGGCATATGGGGCCATGTTTATAGTCAATTCATCATTTATTTTTCTCTACGACTTGTCTCGAACTGCTTTTAGCAAATAAGATGAGGTCTAAGAGACTCCATAATATTTAATAAATACTTCCGTATAATGTCTATCCAAGATTTAAAAGAGAAGCCGTAGAAAGTTAGATATATGTAGTGTGGTGTCAGATAATCAAATGCAACTTAGAATAAACTCTTTCTCGCGCTTAAACTTTTGACTTATATTTTGTCTTCGCGGTTTTTGCTAAGCCTGCCTTTTTAAATAGACTATTAAATATAATACAAGCTTTTGACCACGTAAAACATGACATTTTATTAAAAAAACTTGACGCATATGGCATTAGGGGAAATATATTGAAACTAATTGAAAGTTATTTAGTCGATAGAAAACAGTATACTGTCATCTCACAAATTAATCCTAAATCTGGTTTGGAAGAACATTACTGCTCAGAAACGCGCATAGTTAAATATGGAGTGCCTCAAGGGAGTACGTTGGGTCCATTGTTTTTCAATGTTTATATAAATGACCTACCTAAATCAGTGAATTGTCCAATTACTCTTTTTGCTGACGACAGTACTTTGACTATTCTGTGTAACGATCCTGACATTTATGAATATGACATTAAAAATTCTTTGACATCAGTTATTTCGTGGTTAGATAATAATAATTTAAAAATAAATCTTGAAAAGACCCAATTAATGACATTTAAGCAACGGATAAATAATGATCGACCTCTAAAAATTGATTATCAGAATTTTGACATATGCGAAGTAGAAAGTGCCAAATTTCTAGGTATTATGATTGATTGTAGATTAAATTGGAAATCTCATATAGAATACCTTAGTAAGAAAGTCAGTAGTGCGGCCTATGCGTTATTTAAATTGTCTTCTTTATTGAACACAGATGCCCTGCTTACCGCATATCATGGTCTATCTGCGTCAATTCTGAGATACGGTATTATCTTCTGGGGGAATTCTACTGATAAAGACACAGCATTTAAAATGCAAAAAAGATGCATAAGAGCAATGTTTGGTTTAAAAATAACGGACAGCTGTAAACCGTATTTCTTAAAACATAAAATTCTGACACTTCCGTCTATGTACATTTTTGAGGTTTTACTATTTGTAAAAGATAACATGCATCTTTTCGTTAGAATGGCAGATGTTATAGATCGCAATAGACGCGATAATAGTAGGTTGTGCATGCCAAACTCGAGAACAGCTCTTATGGGAAAAAACATATTCTGCATGGCCCCTCGAATATATAATAAACTCCCGACATATATAAAAGAATTAAATTTTAATTTATATAAGAAGAAAATTAAAAATATATTATTAGATAAATGTTATTATGATGTATCGGAATTTTTAAATGACAAATTTTGAATTATAATTATGTTTTATTATTATTATTTCTATTTTGTGATTAATTTTGACATTTTATTATTGAATTGGAATCATTTGAATTTGACATGTTTTATTATTGACATATTTTGACAAATTGTGAATTGTAATTATGTTTTTATTATTATTATTTCTATTTTTTGATTAATTTTGACATTTTTTTTATTGAATTGGAATAATTTGAATTTGACATGTTTTATTATTGAATATTAAGATTTTTGACTTAGAATTTAAATAACTTAATTAATTTGTATGCCCATAGCGGCACGACATGTTATGCACCCATAAAATCATAACATCTTACTTATACATGTTGTTCAAATAAATATTTTCTTTCTTTCTTTCTTTCTTTCTTTCTTTCTTATACTGACGTCTAATTAATATTTTAGTTTTGAAATAATATTGTTTTCCCTGTATTCATCTAGCCGCCTGCATTGGGGATCTTCGCAACGACAACGACGCTAATTGCACCTACGAAGGGGAGAACAGTCTGCTTCTACAGCAGACCAGTAAATGGTTGCTAAATATTTGGGCTAGGCGGCAGAAGGTCACAGAAGAAGAATCTCCATTGGGAACGTTGAGTTTCTTGCTAAACGCTGATGTTCTATTAAACGAGAAGTGTAAATGGAATACTAAACAGGAAATCGTCCAACCTGATAGTGAGTAATGGTTTGTTTTGTGCTTTATGTCCTTATAGATAAGGTTTAGTTTAGCTTATAAGTCATTCTAATTCTAATTTTTTATTTTGCTTCTAAAAGCCGCACTCAGAGTAATCAATTAACTCTTGGGTTTGATTAAAGTTGATGCAGATATTTTTTGCGATAACAATAGAATGAGATAACACGTGACTTAATGAAGCAGGAAATTAGTGAATACTACTTAAATTTTTGCTTATAATGGCTAGTTGACGCTATATATCTATATATATATAAAACTCAAAGGTGACTGACTGACTGACATAGTGATCTATCAATGCACAGCTCAAACCACTGGACGGATCGGGCTGAAATTTGGCATGCAGGTAGATGTTATGACGTAGGCATCCGCTAAGAAAGGATTTTGATCAATTCTACCCCGAAGCGAAGCGAGGGCGGGCCACTAGTAAACAATAAAGTTAGACTTGTTACAATAAAATTAGACTTGTTAAAATGAAATTAAACTTATTACAGACTTGGTTCGAGCTTACAAATGGCTGACAGCGTATGTGTTAAAGACCACTTACGATAAATTCAACGAATTGAAAAGCTCCGGCAAAGATGATTTCCAAGCGAAGAATGACTCGCAGTCGTATAATGCCGTTACACTGTCCATTGTCTACGGGGAGGTCGGTACCTATGTTGTTTAGCATTATCAGCCTATTGGACTTGTAATAGAATTCAACTTGATATGAAATCGTATTGTGAATCTTATATTTACATAAAAAAATTATGACGACCTCCGTGGTCGAGTGGTTTGTACGCCGGGTTTCATGGTGTCGCCGACTCGAGAGGTCCCGGGTTCGAATCCCGGTGGAGGCAGATGTTCGTGTGATGAATACGAGCATTTGTACTCCAGTCATGGATGTTTAATATGTATGTCTATATAAATATACTTATATATGTACAGTATATGTATTCTATCCGTTACCCTAGCATCCCATAACACAAGCCTTACAGTGCTTACTTTGGGGCTAGGCTAATTGGTGTGAGTGTTGGAAATATTTATTATTATTATTATTTATTTATTTTGCTTTACATTTTTTTTTATTTCACTAATATGAAGGCAAGAGATTCGAGTTTAGAGCCCCCTGATTGCCTAATGTCAATTTTAAAACCGTTTTTTTCCAACTTCCATTACACGCACGCACGCACGAACAGACACATAAAACAAATATAGATCAAATTTACTCGCTGCGATTGCGCATTCTAACATTCATTGTTTGCCTAATGTAAGATAATAGTGACCCATTTATGAAAAAGTGAAACTGACCTTATTTACAGAAAATTTTTCAAACCGGACCTAATTATTCATCACAACAAAATAACTAGGGGCGTCGATGGCAAAATATTATGTTTGCCAAACTTAATCAATACTTATGGAATTAAGACATTTCACTACACGATACCAAACTTAAAAAATGAACTGCCTTCTAACTTAAAAAAATGTATTGTATGCCAGAAAAATTGCTTGGAATAGGGTATTTGACAAGTTTTAGGCAGCGATCTCACGTTATTGACTAATGTGTATGGAGTCCGTTAAAAGTGGATATTCATCAGTCTCTTGTGTATTTTAGTAAAAATAACCAAATCAAAAACTCCATTTTCAAGTTGCCGCGAAAACGTTTCACTGGACAATATGGCGTCTTACTAGTGTATGACGTCACGTGACTGTTATTAAAACGTCAAACGATACAATGTATGTCACTTTAACCGGAAGTTTACTTGCGTGTGACGTCATTTTAGGCTCCGCCAAACCCTAGCGGTTTAGATAGGAAAACTATTATCTCTTTCGAGGGTTTTTAGTAAAATTATGAATATTTTTTTTTGGAAAAATAGTAAAAACCCGTGCCTACCTTCTAAACACAGATGCTAACAATTGGGACCTTATTTTTAATACTGTCAAATACCCTATTATTCTAAATTCCAAAATTTAATGAGTAACAATGAATCAATTTCACTTTTTCTTAGACAACCTCCGTGCCCGAGTGGTACTCCTCCCTGCTCATTACAGCCAGTCCTTGGGCCGGGGCCACTAAAAACCAGGCAATACTCCTTCGGTGGTCACTAGGGATGAAACGATACCATCTAGGTATCGATACTTTTACTCGATACTGTATCGGTCATAAAGTATCGAAGCCTACTCGGTATCGAATGAAAAGTATCGATACTTACTTGTATCGATAAATTTTGACGAACGATATTACAATTACAAATTCAGTCACAGTTTTAATTTGACGAAAACAAAATAACGGCTCATACCAATCGATGAACGAATAACAGACTGAAAATATAAATCATATGCAAGGTTGTCAACTGAGCAGTAGAAAAGATGCGTTCGAGATATAAAAATTCCAACTAGACACATTACCATAGAGTAAACAATCTGCCTATGAATTTTTTGATACTTCTAAGTGAGTGACCGACCGAGTACCGATACAAGTACTTACTTTACGATACTACTTATTACTCAGTTCTAAAGTATCGATGCCAAAAGTCTTGGTATCGAAAGAAAAGTATCGAGTAGTTACTTGTATTTACTCGTATCGTTTCATCCCTAGTGGTCACCCGGCGTACACTCTGAGGACCGCAGTCCGTGTGGTCGCGACTTATCCTAACACCGTATTTTGTTAACTTAAAAACAGCTTTTTAGTAAGAGTTCTTTTCCAGAATTATGTGTTGAGCCACTTCTACAAATCAGCCCTGGAATTCAAGGACCCACAATGCAGACAGGTGCTGTTGAAACTGGTGTCTTTGTATGGAGCATTCATTTTGGAGAAACACTTGGCTACACTTTACATTGTAAGTTAAATCACATACAATATTTATTTCTAATTATATCAACAACGGGGTGGGTGACCAAAAATCTTCTATCTCGAGTTCCTCCGTGCTTCGGAAGGCACGTTAAGCCGTTGTTCCCGGTTGCATCTGCATTCGTTAGCACCCGCCAATCCGCACTGGGCCCGCGTGGTGGGTCATGGCCCAATCTCCTTATTCTATCCATAGGGAAGACCTGTGCCCCAGCAGTGGGGAAATTAATAGGCTGATGATGATATCAACAACATCAGTCAATTAATGTCCCCACTACTGGGACACAAACCATACCTATGGCTGGAATAGGTAGATTGGCAAATTATCGGCTGTTAACCGCATCATTGAGTGCATTCTACCGACTAAACCACGGCGAGTCTTCTGAGGAGTTATTCTTCCTTATCCTTCCATCCCCTTTCCTTTAGAGGACCACGCGCGCCGGCCTACATTGTCACCGACTTACTTTGACCACTATTCCTACACGAACTAAGAAATTTGGTGACTCATTTCTTTATCGTACTATTCGCTACAATCTGGGATCCTTTAAAAGAGGCGTGAAGAAGCATTTCTGCAGGCCGGCAAAGTGAGGATGGTTGGTGTGGCAGTGTTTATAACTGCTGTACCAGCTATCTTCGCGTTTGGACTCTATCACCATTTAACATCAGGTGGGGTAGAGTCATTTGCCTACCTAGCTATAAAAAAACCTTCGGACAACCAATTTTCTTGTTTTATTCTATTTTCAATTAACCTTATAATTTTTATTATTTTAAAGCATATAACTGCTTGATGTTTAAATCTAAAGAAAATATAACTAGAAAAAATTCCACGCGGACCAGGCAGCAGACGGGAGTTGAACCCGCACCCTTCGCAATCCGGGCGAATGCACTAATAACACACACGCGAGCATAATTGGTCAGTGCATTCGCCCGGATTGCGAAGGGTGCGGGTTCAAGTCCCGTCTGCTGCCTGGTCCGCGTGGAATTTTTTCAATTAACCTTATTTGGTCTACGATTGAACGTCGCGTGGTAAACTAGCTACGGAGCGATCCACAGTTGATTTATTGGGCTCATGTTGTTTTTTTATAGGTAGGTTCGTTAAATGACTCCAACCCACCTGATGTTAAGAGACGGTGAAGTCCAAACGTGAAGATAGCTGGTACAGCAATTCTACCTGCCACATCAGCCATCCTCACCTTGCCAGCCTGCATGTTGCTTCTTCACGCCTCCTTTAAAGGATCCCAGGTTGTAAGAGGGAGGGAACACGTGAGCAGGCAGAGCATTCCATTTACGGATAGTGCGATAAAGAAAAATGTAAAGCAAGGTGCTGTTCAGGTTTCCGGTTCATACAAAGCAAGGTGCTGTTCAGGTTTCCGGTTCATACAAAGCAAGGTGCTGTTCAGGTTTCCGGTTCATACTAAACAAGGTGCTGTTCAGGTTTCCGGTTCATGTAAAGCAAGGTGCTGTTCAGGTTTCCGGTTAATGTAAAACAAGGTGCTGTTCAGGTTTCCGGTTCATGTAAAGCAAGGTGCTGTTCAGGTTTCCGGTTCATGAAAAGCAAGGTGCTGTTCAGGTTTCCGGTTCATGTAAAGCAAGGTGCTGTTCAGGTTTCCGGTTCATGTAAAGCAAGGTGCTGTTCAGGTTTCCGGTTCATGTAAAGCAATGTGCTGTTCAGGTTTCCGGTTCATGTAAAACAAGGTGCTGTTAGGTTTCCGGTTCATGTAAAGCAAGGTGCTGTTCAGGTTTCCGGTTCATGTAAAGCAAGGTGCTGTTCAGGTTTCCGGTTCATGTAAAGCAATGTGCTGTTCAGGTTTCCGGTTCATGTAAAGCAAGGTGCTGTTTAGGTTTCGGGTGGATTTAATAAGCGCTATAAGTTCTCTTTTGCAATTTCCCTACAGCTATTAAACAAGTGTTCTTTATTAAAGGGAGGTTTCTTCAGCGGCCCACAAGGCCAGTTGTTGCGTGAAGGAATCTTAGAATTGTGCAGCGTTTTGAAAGACGAAGCCGTATCGTTAGCGGATACATTGGCCCCGCCAGATTGGTGCCTAAAGTCTGTGCTCGGACAATCCGATGGAGAGGTGAGTTATAAAATTTTGTTAATTTAACTTTTGAATAAAATTTATTTTACATTATCGGTGGAAATCGTCGATAGCCAAACCTCGAATTTTCCATTTTTTAGACGCAAATTTCAGCGTTTGCTTTTGTTGTCTCTATCACACGGTATTTGCCAATGCGCGACTGCAATAGTTTTTTCAAATATCTATTTCTCAAATGTGTCTCAGCGCGCGTCCGCTCTTAAATGTTTTAAAAATAAAAATATAATATCACTTTATTATTGATCTTGTGTGTGTAAGATTTTATTTATTTATTATATTATTTAACGACCTCCGTAGCCGAGTGGTATTAACGCTGGGTTTCAAGGTGTCGCCTGCTCAAGAGGTCCCGGGTTCGAATCCCGGTGGGTGCAGATGTTTGTGTGAATAATACGATACATTTGTACTCCAGTCACGGTCATGGCATGTTCAATATGTGTTTCTATATAAATATGCTTATATACGTATCAAAATATTTATTGTATCCGTTACCCTAGCATCCCTTAACACAAGCCTACTGTGCTTACTTTGGGGCTAGGTTGATAGGGTATTTGACGTTAAGTTTTAGAAAACGATCTCACGTTATTGACTAATGTTTATGGAGTCCGTAAAAAGATATTCATCATTCTGTTGTGTATTTCAGTAAAAATAACCAAATCAAAAACTCCATTTTCAAGTTGCCGCGATAACGTTTTTCTGGACAATATGGCGTCTTACTAGTGTGTGACGTCACACGACTGTTATTAAAACGTCATACGATACAATGTAATGTCACTTTAACTGGAAGTTTACTTGCGTGTGACGTCATTTAAAGCTCCGCCAATCCCAAGCGTTTTGGGTCACGTGACAATTAGATAAGAAAACTATTATCTGTTTCGTGGGTTTTTAGTAAAATTATGAATATTTTTTTTTTGTAAAAATAGTAAAAACCCCTGCCAATATTCATTCTAAACACAGATGCTAATAATTTTTAATTTATTATATTATTATAGGCCTACAAGCACATCCAGAATAGCGTATTGAGCTATCCGGGTGCCCTAACAAGACCAACGTGGTGGAGAGACGTCGTCAACTGGCGTGATTATGCTACGTCTAAACTTTAAACAATATGCCTGCAATAAAAGAAAAAAACGAGCGAGCCTTACAGTAGTCGCGTATGATGTGTAACATTTGAAACCTCACCTTATATTAGTAAAAAAAGAAATAAAACCTACGATAAAAGGAATAAGCAATGAGGGCTATCGCGTCTGAAACCGCCGCTAGAGGCGCTTGTGTTGCGTGAGGTCTCCGAAATGTCAAACGTTATTGCTTGTGAGTCGACTACGCGGTTTTTTTCTAATTATGGCAAATATGAGTTACGTGTCAATGAATGTCAGTTATTAAAAAGCGGAGCTAAGAAAAAATATTGTCCTTCTTTTTTCCGAACAAAACGGGACTGCGCAACACTGTGGCATGGGCGATTATGTTTAAGAAACGATTCTTTTGTATTAAAATGTAAACTTTGATATCACGAGCGTATTTACTAACTTTAAAAGCTACACTTCAGGACCTTACTCAACAGTGGCGCCATCTGGTGAGACCAAAAACGGTAGCCCTCATTAGAACATTATGTTCCAAAATCAAATCAAATAGCGCGCGCTTCCCAAACTTCCTGTTACACACTTCCGTCCCATTTCAGGTAATCACTCCCACAAATTGCACGAAAGCGAGAGGAAAGATGTTACACATCAAAAATAATATCCAATCAGATTTCATGTAAATATAGCATTGACTTATAAAGACATGTAAATTACCAATCGCCTAACAAAAGTGCATCAAAAAACGTCCGAGCGGCGTTGTGTCATACATATACATCAACTTAAAAAGATAATACTTGTATTTTCGTTTTGTGAAATGCGCTTGGTTATATTAAGATGAAGTTATGTCAACTTTATTACACACATTGAATTGTATAATAGGGTATTTGACAAGTTTTAGAAAACGATCTCACGTTATTGACTAATGTTTATAGAGTCCTTGAAAAGTGTATATTCATCATTCTGTTGTGTATTTCAGTAAAAATAACCAAATCAAAAACTCCATTTTCAAATTGCCGCGAAAACGTTTCTCTGGACAATATGGCGTCTTACTAGTGTGTGACGTCACACGACTGTTATTAAAACGTCAAACAATACAATGTAATATCACTTTAACTGGAAGTTTACTTGCGTGTGACGTCATTTTAGGCTCCGCCAATCCCAAGCGTTTTGGGTCACGTGACAAAAGATAAGAAAACTGTTATATTTTTCGTGGGTTTTTAGTAAAATTATCTTTTTTTTGTAAAAATAGTAAAATCCCCTGCCAATATTTATTCTAAACACAGATGCTAACATTTGGCATTTTATTTTTAATACTGTCAAATACCTTATTATAAAGATGGGAGAGAAAAATGGCTTTGCTAGATAAGAGTCTTGCCAGTTCTTTTAGCACAAATGACACAAAAAAAAAATCACTAATTCCTTTTTTAGAATTAAGTGAATTATTTTGTAAGTGATATTATTATTTTAGTGTCTGTATAAAATATAGTTTTTTTAAATGTTTATTTTTGTTGGAATTTATACAATTTTACAATTTAAAATACAGGGTGTAGGTGCAAATTAAGATGTAAGAATAAATTATATTTACACTATTTCTGTGGTTTAATTTATCCCAGTATGATACCTTGTTTGTTGATTTAATAATATCATCTCAAAGAATGAAATAAAATTCTAGGATTTAAATGAAGGGTACAAATAGTATGTGAAACCTTCCACAATTCATAAATTTGATTAAAAAAAGGAAAACTTGAAAATAACTTGAATCGATAGCTCGATAGCATAGGGATCAGTTACCCGAATCACATTCTTTGACAGATTTTTATGCATATTCAGTAGGTCTGAGAATCGGCTACTATCTATTATAGATATTAACGGGATTGTTACCATGTACCTTGTTTTTTATGAGTCTCCGATATTTCGGCACTGTTGCAAGCGCCATGAACACGGAGTTACTCCGTGTTACTCATGATCACTCATGGTAACAATCCCGTTTATTCGGGGTATCAGTTTGCGTGGGGTTTTAATGGAGAAATACACTGTTGAAACTGTTAAATATTTTATTTTACTACACAGTTGGACACACAGTTCACTTATATTTAGAAATGTTTAATTAAATTCAAAGGAAAAAGTATAAAAATGTTATTGTTAAAATTATCTTAATATGTAATTAACTGTTATAGAAATGTTCCGAATTTATGTTATAATGTTAACGAGTACAACTTATTGCTACCGCGAAATGTATTGCACTGAAATGTCAAAGTGCACGGCGGACTATACGGTGCGCCATCCTAATATGTCGCAATAACTTATCGTTCGGTTTCGAACCGAACACCGTTAATAACTTTAATATTAGTGACCATGAAAGTTTAAAACAATATATCGGCTACTATCTATTTTTCATACCCCTAAGCGATAAGGATCTTCAACCCCAAAATTTTTTTTTATAATTTGGCATTAAAAGATACATGTATACAACCCTTAATTTTCACCATTCTACCATTAACCAACCCCTAATTTTATAGCGATACGAAGTTCGCTGGGTCAGCTGATTTCAATATAATATGTATTACACAACACACTGTATTTCAATGCAAACTGATTAAATATTAACGAGACTAATTTGTAAACTTGAAAGGGATAAAACAGCTCATCTGATTGGGTTTGCATTCTATATGAGCGCGTCAATCACCGCAAAGTTCATTTGTACAGAGGACCTTTTAACGGGGGCGGAATTAGTTTAAAGTTTCCACCGTAGTAGCAGGTTTAGTTAAAGGAAATGAACAATAGAGCATTGTTTTTGACCGTTTTCATAATTAAGTAAGTACTGTGTAGCTTACGATATTATGTCTACTCCTTTTGAACTCGTAGCTGTATATTTGGAAATCTCCGTGACCGAATTGCTTGCGAATTCTGTGTTATAAGTATCTATAATACTGTTACGTGTCGGGATGGGGTTAGAAAATTATATGCCAGTTCACGCTTGACAGTTCTTTATTCACCACTCAGTTCACACAATTAACACACAATGTTAATTACAAAACACTCACTATACAAGTCTCTAAACAATCGCACTTGAACACTTTTGTTGCACTTTGATCGCCTTTGGATTCGCTCCGAAATCGCTGTTGTAACTCAACTGTCTCTGCGCGCCGCCAATCGCGCTTATATACGCCGATCGACGCATTCTAGAAAGTACCTGTTAAATTGAGAATTAGCTAGCACCCGCGAGTACGAAGTACCTACTTATACCTACGAAGGTAACGCGCATAACTTGTAAACAAGTGCAGATGTCGTTGCACTTTCTCTCTTACGCCGCACTGCATTAGGCTCATTTTAGAATGCTGCATCGACTCGACCTCTATCGCGACCCGCGGTGATCTGGCAAATTCAATCTCTAGCACTTTCGCGGTTACGTTTCGAGAGCTTTTGTGACAATACATTACGTCAGTCAGACTCAATGTAGAAAAAGTAACTTCAAAATCTTATGTGTGACGATTACCAGTACGGTAATCTAGGCAGTAAATTTATATCTAGGTAGTAAATTTTTAGTTACATCATATAATAAAAAATATTTTTTAATAATTATTAAAATATACCTACAGGTTTGTACGGAACCCACGGTACGCCAGTCCGACTCGCACTTGGCCGGTTTTTTTCACATTGACAATATTTAACTGAACAGAAAATAGCATATCCATCTATGCTTTTCAAAACAAGTACCTTAGTGGCGTTATAATAAAGCAGTAATGGATCAGCAAATAGCTAGATGATTGTCACTCCCATGTGTCAAAAGCAGTTAGCTAATAGGCCTTCTGGAGTACATAAAGGTGGACTGCGTGACCGTAGTAACAGTTAGCCCAAGGCTATACAGGGTGTAAAAAAACCTATGACAAAGACTAAAACTACGCATCCTGTACACCCCAACAAGTAATATTACAAAATATTACATGTGGGTAACATTTGTATTTTAAGTTAAAAAATCTATTTTTATTCCAGTACCCAGTGTATAGCGTGGCGTGCTACTGTGGTGCTACGCAAACAATGTGTTTGTGTGTGCATGTGTATAAGTGCGTCGATAAAAAGTTTCTAAATAACGTTATTGTAAAAATCTATATAACCATAAATTTCCCAGGTATGGTCTAGAAGAAAAAAATCATCGTCATGATGTGGAAAATACGTGGCCTTCGACTTCGTTAAAGGTTTTTTTACACCATAAATAAATTTAAAGATATTATAAAAAAAACACTTATTAAAAAAGCTTATTACAAAGTGTCTGATTATATTACAGACAAAAATGCTTGGGTTTGAACTGTTCCAATCATTCCAACAGGTTTTCTATATTAAATAAATCATGATTGTATTGACGTTGTAACAACATAATGATTTGTTAATGTTGTTACATTAGACTTTTAATGTTGTGGAGTTTTTTTCGCTCGTTTTTCTCCGCAGCTAAAAAATATGTCCATAACGAGTGGTAGGGAAAAAAAATTTTTGGACGATTCAAAAGAGTTGTACTATACATCCAATTTGAATAAAGATATATTGATTTCTGATTTCTGACACCCTGTATTTGGCTATTCTTCCTTTTGATTCTATAAGCGGACACCAGTTTACACCTAGACGCTTGCGATGCCAGAGCTCAAATGTTTTGTTGCCAGAGTATCTCTTGCCCTGACCACATCCTATACCTGTAATTGTAATTTAATAGTCATTTTCGTACCGTGCTTCGGAAGGCACGTTAAGCCGTTGGTCCCAGCTGCATCTGCAGTCGTTAGCAACGCACCAACCCGCACTGGGTCCGCGTGGTGGGTCATGGCCCAATCACCCTATTCCATCAATAGGGAAGGCCTGTGCCCCAGCAGTGGGGACATTAATGGATTGATGATGTTTTTTGAACCTGTATCTATTTTAAACCAGAACTGATTCACTTAAACCTGAGATTCATATAGCCCCTCCTCCCCCCTATTCTAGTGTCGCCGCGGATTTCTCGCCGATTCTCAGCGGCATTGAGGAGCGAAGGGACCTGGAGTACATAATGGTGGACCTTCTGAAAGGGCTGACGCGTCGCTATGACGTCACTTGCGTGGCTGTAGTCTGCGACACGGTCTACTTAAACGTCTTCGAAGGATACCTGTTCAAGAGGATGTGGCGAATGCCCTTTATTATGGTGAGACGTTTACAAGACGAGTATAATTCGAGAAAAGGGCGGAATATCTTGGATGTTTTCGATTGATTCCATACATGGAGGTGAAGCAATTTTTGAAGCCCTGTCGTGGATAGGTCATTAAATGTATATTATCTGGAGCTCGTTTGCTTTAAAAGGCGCATGTAGCTGTTGGTCATGCATGGACATCTGGGGGCCATTCGCCTAACGAAAATGCTTTGGAAAACGCTAACGCTTTCGATGTCATTTTGTTATTTCTGACCGCCGAAGGATTTCAATTCAAATACCTCACGCTCATTTTCTTTAATATTGTTATTACCAATGCAAAAGAAAAAAAAAGCGCGAGGCATTTGAAAACCTCAGGCAGCTAGAAATAACAAAATGAAATCGTAAGCGTTAGCGTTTTCCAAAGCATTTCCGTTAGGCGAATGGCCCCCTGTAGTCATTACCAACGACAACCTCTAATCAATATGTTTAGGTATTGCGCCCTCTTAGTGGCTTGGTGGTTCAATACTTCTTATATTATTTTGTCTATTTGTATTGCGTACGATATATTAATTAACAGAGCATTAATGAGGATCCGTAAAGATTTTAGTTCAGAATGCAGATTTATAGAGCTAAGGATTCCATAAAATACAGTGGTTCAATTTTTGTTCTACGACAAATATTGACGAAGTTATGACCAAATTACTAAACAAATTTTCGGTTGGCCGCTTGGTGCCTATGACGTCACAGAGCTCTAGCGCTCGGGCGCGAGCGTGCGTAGAGACGCTACTAAAGTTCGACTGGAGTGAACCACGATCGAGCTCTGTGACGTCACACAGAAGTGAATATTGGCTACCATAAAATTAGTTATAATATCGCAATGAATGAACCGATTTCGATGAATTAAAAAGTACATTAATTAAAAGTTGAGTTTGAGTTGATTTGCTGAGCTAGTAATGATCCTTATTAATATATGCCCAAGGAACTTATTATCGAAATTGACAGGGATGGGCAGAATTTATTGGACAGGTGCATGAAGAACTAACGATAGTTCGGACCATTATGTGAAGAATATGTGACCATTGTGCTCCATTGTGTATTTAATTTTATCAATCAATTTTAAAGTCAAACAATACAAGGTTATATCTTTAACCCACATGTTTTAGATAGTGGTTGAAGAATATGAGGACTTGCTTTCCCCAAACTTTGACACTCTTGAATCTCTGCGGGAAGCGAGGAAAGCTGGTTGTAACGTATACGTTGTTCTGCTGGCTAATGGTATTCAGACAGCGAGGTTATTAAGATTTGGAGACAGGTAAGAATTACTACTAGAGCAGATTATTTTTCAATTAACTAGGCTACTTTTAGATAAGGTACCTGATACAAATAAGGCCTATGCTGAAATAAGGCCTGTAGTGCAGAAAAGTCTATTAAAATATGTTTACATCAAAAATACTTTACACACGCATAGATGACAGCAAGGGCGGATCCAGAGGGGGGGTCATGAGGGTCAGGACCCCCCCTGGGCTGGGTCCATCTGTACTGTGACGTCCGAAACGTTACAGCCTCCTTGTTTAGGTAAACTCTTTGCTTTTGCAATGCCTACGGTTGGCAGTTATATTAAAAAGATAATGTCATGATTTTAAGATTTGAAATGAGGAATCGTCTGTCTTTTGATAGAAGGTTCCATTCAAGATTAGATCTTCAGGCACCAAGAATTTCCTCTCGTATTTAGATAAAATACTTTTATATTAGCCTGAATGATAAAAAGAAATAAATAACTTATCTCTATCAGTATTTTTCAATTATCGTCTACGCTCCCAGGTTCTATCCCTTCTGGGTAGAACTCTATATGGTGGACGCGCCGCGTTAGTTTCAAGTACCGCGAATGAAAAATAATTTTAAATCAAGAAAGAAGTAGTTTTATGAAGATGGAGACCAGGACCACATTCGACGGAAAAGGTGATGTAACCGATTTCTTTCGTCAATTTAATATCATCGCCGCCATCAATAATTTCAACGAGGATACAAAAAGAGTTGTGTTGTCGGCATATTTAAGTGGACCTGCATTGTCATTTTATAAAAATATTAATGAGTCTTGTGAGAATTTTCAGATTTTAGAAAAGAAAATTTGTGAGGAATTTCCATCATCGATAAATGCGTTGGAAAAATTTTTCTCACGAAGACAAGGCTTGTCAGAAGAGCCATTGACTTTTTTTTATATATTGGATGAGCTGGCCACAAAAGCGGGAGCTGTCATCGATGACAAATGCTTCATTAGACAGTTCTTGAAAAATGCGAATTTAAATACAAAAAATCTTTTCGCATTTCAGTTATATAGTGATAAAACACATTTAAAAAATATTTTACGTCAAGCACAGGATATTTTCGGAGACGAAAGTGCCGAAATTTGTTGGAATCTGCCGATCCAACCATCGTTTGTTACACCAATGACAAACTTCGAAGCGGCGAAAATTTCGCCTATAATAAGGCATGAAGAAGAACAAGAGAAGGAAATCAACTTCATTTCCTCCCAAAGTGTCCTTTCTCATCCCATTGTCCCTCCCGAACACATGATTCCCTGCACTTTTTGTTCCAGTAACACGAACAAAAAGAAGTATAAATCAAAGAAGAAGAAGCATCCAAAGAAAATTTTTTATGAAGAAAATGTTATGACGATGGCTGATGGACAAGATTTTTATTCCCAACCGTCAGAAAACAACAATCAATATACAAGTGAGTCCAAACCATTAATTAATATAACGTGTCGTGATAAGAAGTTTGTAGGGCTCATTGATAGTGGTGCTGCAGTGTCTGTTGTGTCGAAGGACACAGTTAATAGAATTCATCAACGAATTGATGAAAGCGATATGAAGTTGAAAGCTGTCGATGGTAAAGAATTGTCGGTTATAGGGAAAGTCAACCTAAAATTATTGATAGACAATGCGTTATTCATTCACGATTTTCTTGTGGTAGAAAATATTAGGCATAACCTCATCTTAGGACAGGATTTCTTGCTTCGAAATAATGTGATAGTAGACTTTTATAATGAACAATTAATAATCAAACATATTAAGTGCAAGTTTAAAAGACAATATATAAAAAAGAATAATGAAAGTGATAGTGATAATTCGGTGTATGATGAAAATTTATATTATGCCGAATAGGTTGATAGTACAATAATAATAATGTGTTACTAATGAGATTTTATTTCAGTTTATTGTTTATATGAATGTTTTAAAGCAATGGTGGTATGTAAATAAGGTTCAATACAATAGTCATTTTAGAATTTTATTTCAAAAGCATATTAAATATAACTTTGTCATTTTATTAGAATTTTTTTTTTAATACACATATTATAAGGAACTTTTACACATTTTGTTTGTGACAGATCAATAGGTAGTCTCATTAAAGTATTTTCATTTCTTTTAATTGTTAGCTTTTGTGTAATTTGTTGAGTAGGTGGATTATTGATATCGTAATAACCATAAGAATGATAGGTAACAGGTTCGATTCTCTGTTCAACTTGGAATTATTCAATTGACTTTGAATATGATCATTGATAGGATTAATTCAGCATTAGGATAGAATATATATAGTTAATAATGTATAATAGGATAATATAGGTCCATAAAGAAAATTCCCTTATTATAAAAAAGGAAACGGGTTCGATTCCCTGTAAGGTTAAAAAATAAATAAATGAATAATAATGTTAAATTTTGAAAATTTATCCAACTATGAAAAGATGGTATAAAGACTTATCATAAACTTAATGTTTTCATGAATATTAACTTACCCGACTGAAGAAAAATGGTGTAAAGAATTTTACTAATATTTTCTTGATTGTTTTATGTACTACCACATGATGCGGACTTCCCGAGAGAGAGCAGGCTGGCGCTCATGCAGACGTCAGCGATACTGACGATGATCCACCCTGAAGATGATGGAGACACCCTCTACGAATTCGCGTCGTTTTCGTTTCAATTTGGTCGCGTCGCGTTCGTTAAAATCGTCACTTGTAGTAGTTTGACTTGGGGGTAGGGAACCCTTAGTATTCCATGGGAATTGGGTTTAATCTTGTTTGATGCTAGATGTCCTTACCCAAAATTTCTATTACGTTTGCGCATCATGGGTGTCTAATAAAGTACAAGACAATAAAGTGGTGGACCACGTCTGTATCTTTATTAAAGATGTACGAAAGTAAACATTAATTATAAATTCTTTTAGGTTTTGCTCAAATCCAGTTAATGTTTACGAATCTTAGGAAATAGTTTGAATTTCGTTTCGTACATCTACTTAGTATGGGAAGTAATGAAGTTTCAAAATATAAATTTTCTTGATATTTAATGGTTTAATAAATGGGATAGGGTAAAGTTTTGCTGATAGATGGGATAAAAAAAAAATTGCTTGGGTAATTTAAGTTATAGCTAGGGTTAGCTTTGTTTTTTTGTTTTTGCCGACTGATGTCGATGTAAAGTAAAGTAAAGTTAAGGTTAGGAGGGAGATGTGCGAGGGATTTTGTTAAGGTTTTGCTCCCGTAAAGTCTGCAATAAAACTTTGCAAACAGTTAGGGTTCTTTTCCCGTAAAGTTTTTTTTTTTTTTTGCAAGTTTTGCAAACTTATTGTGAGGGCTAGTCTATAGTAAAGGCCACCTCCCAGTTGTATTTATGTCCTTAAGCAGGTAGGGATTTTAGATAGGACCGTCGAACCCTCTCGATGTAGTAGGTAGGAAAAAAAAAATTTTGTTCGGTCATCTGGTATGACAAAACAATTTTTTTTTCTAGAGGTGCCGGAGGGATGTGACGTCCGATACGTTACAGCCTCCTTGTTTAGGTAAACTCTTTGCTTTTGCAATGCCTACGGTTGGCAGTTATATTAAAAAGATAATGTCATGATTTTAAGATTTGAAATGAGGAATCGTCTGTCTTTTGATAGAAGGTTCCATTCAAGATTAGATCTTCAGGCACCAAGAATTTCCTCTCGTATTTAGATAAAATACTTTTATATTAGCCTGAATGATAAAAAGAAATAAATAACTTATCTCTATCAGTATTTTTCAATTATCGTCTACGCTCCCAGGTTCTATCCCTTCTGGGTAGAACTCTATAGTACCCACTGTGACTTGGCCACGACTATATGACACCCCCCGCCCTTGGACGACAGTTCTACAACTCGGCAAACTGTGCACGAGCGGTCCGCTCGAGCTCATAGCGTCAGCAGTGGCGGTACTTTGTGAAGGACGAGCTTTTCTTAGCGCGTTATTAATTTGTCGTAATCTTTAACGAATTTTAACACGTTATTCTTTGAAGTTTTGTTTCATGTAATGTATACGGATCACAATATAACTAATCAAAAAGTTGACTATGACTTAAAATTATACTTTTTAGTATATGCGAATTAAATACCACCTACGTATAACTTTTATGAAGTATATTGTACTAAATAAAGCCTACTTTTATAAATGGCCTTATTTTTATCAAATATATTTTGATAATTTGCTAATTTTTGTTTGTATGGATATGTTTTTTTTTATATTATTCTTTATCTCTTGTTAATATGCGACTTCAAATCTGACTAGCAATTTAAGCAAAATATTTAGTAAAATAAATTAAAATGTTGTTCAAGGATCCCGTGGAAACACTTGATTAAAGGCTCAGAAATACATATTTTAATATAATTTATACTCTAAAAACAATATTTCTATAATTTAAGTACATAGGCTTTGTTACGTCACTATGTTTTTAAAAGGCCTAAGGCTAAGGTTCCAGAATTGGCTCTTTTTAAGTGATTTCTGATAATAGATTGTAATACGTTTTCTTAATTATTTAAAATTTATGTACCAAGGAATAATGTCTTGCTTTTATTTATCACTTTCTTCGAATAATTTATCATGATAATAGGGGTGATGACGGGGTACAGTAAACGAAATTCTATTTAGTCCGTCAGTTAGATGATCAAAAAATAATGGACACGTATTTTTTCTTTGGGCAATCAACCAAAAAATGGCAAAGTTATAGCGCGTCAAAGTTTGGGAGTAGGGGCTCGTGACGTCACTTTTGAGTGAATTTTCACTTAAAAGTGTACTCAAAAGTGACGTCATGCGACTTTTCAAATCAATATATCTCCGCAATGTTTATATTATGTGAAAAAAGAAAAAATACGTGTCCAATACTTTTTGATAATCTACCTGATAAACGAAGAAAAAAAATTAGTCATCATCCCTATTATGAGTGTTTGAAATTATATAGGCCTTATTTGTATCACTTACCTTACTAAGTAATTCATTGTACTTATGACTAAATCTGTATAAAGCCCTCAAGGTTCCCATACGTTTCCAGATACCGTATATTGGACACGAGAGCTAACTACATCATATTACACGACTACCGATTGTTCCACAGCGAACTACATTACCTGTGGAAACGTATCATCAACGTAATATTCCTGCGATATCACAACAAATTCACGGGTGTATCAAGAAGCAAAGCTTGGTTTGACTTATCCACTGTTCCGTATCCGAATCCAATCAAAAACATTTTCATATCCAGAAGGGTGGACATATGGAAGGATGGTAGCTTTCATTACAACAGACCTTTGTTCGCTGATAAAACCAGCAATTTGAATGGCGAAACACTGAATATTGTTTACTTGGACCACGTGCCGTCAGTCGCTGTAACAAAAAGTAATGATTCTAAAGTAGTTGGAGGTGTTGAAATTGAAGTAAGTTGTGAAGTACCTAAATAGTGACATGGCCATTACGATTGGCCATTCGTCACAACTCGATTACCCGTGGGAAACGAATAAAATAATAGCCTCTCCGTTTTTTCCTGTTTAATAGATAGGTACCTACCTATACGTACAATAGGGAAGATAAATAAATATAATATTTATGAAAATTTATGATTAAAATGTTAAAAAATATAAAAGAAAGGCCCAGAGCCGTCTTTGACCTATTGGGGGCCAGTGGCGGACTAAGCCCGTCAGAGGCCCGGGGCGGCAAAGCTGAATGAGGCCGAGGGGCCTTTTTTTAAAGCTGAGGAGCTTTAAAAAAATTAGTTTCTTATGTTTGATTCGTTAAAATCTGACAAGTGAAATTTAAATTCGAATTAAATTATTTCGGCTAAATAAACATACATACCTAAAATATGGTACATATTGACGGATAATAATTTCTAGGCTAAATTATTCGAATAATTACTTACTTTTTCCAAAAACGCGAAAATGCATTATCTTAACTCTGAACTCATTTACTTTTATACCACAACAAAAATAAAAAAAATCAAATTACACTTTTTAATAAAATTACTTTAAAAGGATAATATCGCGTTTATTACTTAACAATTAACGTTTATTGCTTATCCGTTCTCGGAACGCACTAATAAACTATTAAATATAAAAATACCTATATTTTAAATGAGTCCGATGTTTATTGACGTGACAACGTCTTAAATTAGGTTGCGGCTGGGAGTCACTTATGAAAAAGTGTAACGCTCGGTAACGTTACGATGAGTCTCTCGTGTTAAGTTTAAGTTTACATGTACAATGTTTTAGTAAACAAAATATATTTCTATAGTTAAAATTTGTGCAATTCTTATTTTCATTCAATTCCTTGTTCCTATTGTGCAATTTAATTATATTCATATCAATAAATATTCTACCGAGAAAAAGACGTTGTCACGTAAAATCTTCGCCCGTAAAACCGACTTTACAGGCAACCATTTTTTTTCAACGTAAATATAATGTACTGAATGTAAATGTAGGCGAACAAGAGTGAATTACAAAATGCTACAAAAACGGGATTTCCCCCAGCGTATTGGATGCGTTCGGGTACCGCGTATAAAGACTAGATGGCTGTAGTGTTTTGATCTTGATGAAAATAAACCTACATACTACTAAGCACATTTTGTTCAGCATTTGATCAGGGGAACGCGTAGGTATTTGGGAGCCCCCTAAGATCGGAGGCCCGGGGCGGGCCGCCCCTTCCGCCCCCCTGTTAGTCCGCCACTGTTGGAGGCCCTGGGCTTAGGATAATAGGGCCCCTATGACCCCCGTTTGGTAATCTAACAGGAACTCGGGACTTTGTATTTGTGATCTGAGGTGGGCCCCTATCGATCGCGGGGCCCTGGGCACTTGCCCAAAGTGCCCACTGGGAAAGACGGGTCTGGATAGGCCACTGTAACGTTTTTATTTTACATAATATTTTTTTTTAACAATATTTACGAATTAAAAATAACTGACGTCACTCCTGTTATGACAACTTATTTGAGGTTATGGTTGTAAAAGTGAATATTATTTTATGGGAAGTTGGGTTTATCAAAGTTGAAGTTAGATAGGTACCTACCTGTACGTACAATTTGCTGAATTCGCTTTTAAATCATCTGAGCAGCCTTATTAGTCAAAGAGTCGCGTGCGTACAATAAATAGGTAGCTATCTAAGCTCACGTTAACCAATGATATCTACTGTTAATGTCTTTCAATATATTTTTTATAGATCCTCAACACTTTAGCTGAGAAAATGAACTTCCATCCAAAGCTTTATCAGCCGCCAAATGCTGAATTACACAAATGGGGTCAGAAAGAAGCTAACGGTTCGTTCTCCGGTCTCCTCGGTGAGATGGTGAACGGGCAAGCGGACATAGCCTTGGGCAACCTACAGTACAACCCCTATCACCTCCAACTGATGGACCTGAGTATTCCTTACACATCGCAATGTATTACTTTCCTGACGCCAGAGGCTTTGACAGATAACTCGTGGAAAACCTTGATTTTACCTTTCAAGTAAGCTGTGCACTGAAATATATTTGGAATTTCGCATATTCTCCAATGCGGTTGGAGAATGCAAGAAAACCGGAATAAGCAAGCTGCTATTAGCAGCTTTCTTGCATGTCTTGTCCAGACATAAAAAAATTGTTGACGACGATGATAGCGTTTCCACAAGAAACAAGATAAGCTTACACTTTTGGTTTCTTAGGTTTTCACGCACAACACTTATTAAATAAAACAAGTTTCAAAGGGTAAGATGCACTGATTTTATTTTGACATTTCGCATCCTTTGCAGGAATACGTGGGCGGAATAATGATTTTTTATTTAGTTTGTCGAGCTACCTCCGAAAGACTTATGCAGCGTTCGGATATTTTTAAAACTTTATTGTCTATGTATGAATTTATTAGCTAATTTAATTGATGAAGTAGTTTATTTAATTCTTTTTTATAATTTTGAGTTTATTTATTTACTAGTTTCATATACTACTTTTAAACAGAACTTGTAGCATATGTACTTGTTGTGGCTGTTTAAAACATACTTTCGTTTACAATGCATAGCCAATAAGCTGCTTATTGGCTTTTCCGTTTCGCCGCACCCGTGAGACTTGTGGGAGGGTAGGTGTGAGGTCCGTTAGTTGGTGTGCCCCTTTAGGCGCTTTGCAGACAACGGGGCGGGGCGGGCATTTTGTCCGCGAAGCAATAAAAACCGCGTTTGTCAGTCGATGTCTGCGGCTGCCCGCGCCGCGTACACAAAGCACACGACGGGCAGAGGCAGTCAGTTCAGGACGTTCGTTATAGTGAATAGTCCATCACTAAAAAGCGCGTGCCGCGGACATGCCGCGCCACCAGTGCCCGCCGGGCACCTGCGGCGCGGTCTTTTTGCCCTCTGTGCGCGTTTGTAATATAGGATTCACTTTGTGCTATCGTTCGCGGCGAAATTGACCGGCCAGCCCCGCCCCGCCGTCTGCAAAGCGCCTTAGGGCGCCATCGTCCGTAAATAGAGGTTTTGCCTGCGTAATAAAAAAAAACGGGCAATTGCGAGTCGTACAAACTCAATATAATACCTCTTCGCATTCATGAGAAAAGGGTAGTAACTTTAAAATTTTCAAAAAAAAAAATCTGTATGAAGTAACTAAAAATTTACGGTTTTCGCAAATTTTTCCTGTATCTGTATTATAAGACGTTACTTCGAATCAAATTTCAAGATTCCAAGTTCACGGGAAGTACCTTGTAGGTTTAGATTTGATGACGGCCGCGTCGAAATTCCTCTAGCCACTCTTAAGCTGCAAGGCAGCGCCATCTCTTCGCATTGTACGTAACCCACACCTAATCATGTCAAATGGTACTTTCTCGTTTGTTTTTTTCGATAAGCATTATGTTATACACCCGTGATGTTAAATGTGAACTATTTAACTTCTTATTAATATTTACTAAAACACTTTTTTCTTATTGATTTAGATTGCAAATGTGGATTGCGGTCTTGCTGGTACTTTTGATAACGGGAACAATATTTTATGGTTTAGCAAACTTTTACACAAACCTGCAAAAGTACAAGAAGAACCATGGTGTAAACACGAACATCAAGCTTGAAGAGAAACCAGAGGGACAAAATGGTATTTCGAGCGTCAGCACCGACAACAGCACAACTCAGAATACAGAACAAATCCATTTTGTCTTTGTGAACAGTTTTTACGATGTATGATCCAGGGCTTGTAACCGGTTTCGAAAATACCGGTAAATAAAGGTTAATACCGGTTTTTAATAAAGGTTTCGTTCGGAGCGCGTCCGAAATGAAAGCGGTACCTAAAACCTTAATAAACCGGTTTAATCCAGAGCGACACGTGCACGCGTCGGCATCGTTTGAAGTTTGTTTTGTTTGAACAAATCAAGACACAACTTGTTAATGCTCAGAGTAAAGCGAAATGAAACCCTTTAAAAACCGCTAAATTGATTCAAAACCTATTTGATTTCCCTTTTTAAGAAAACCGGTTTTTTAAGGTTAAGGTAGAGCCAAACCTAAATAAAACGCTCCTAATGTACTTGATGCCGATTTAGGTTTGAAAATTAACCGGTAAACAAGCCCTGGTATGATAAAGGTGGCACAGTTTTGATAAAAACTTAATATTCACGGGACGTATTCACAACAAAATGCGTTGTTGTGTACTGACGCGAATTTATAGTCGCTTTTGACTTCGTATTTGCTATGGTGCCACGCATTTCGTGTACCGTACGCACCATCTGCCTTTTGTTCTGTAATCTGAGAGCACATCCTACATCCCCTTATTAAGAAACTAGCCGCCGCCCGCGACTTCATACGCGTGGAGTTAGTTATTTGCACATACTTTTTGACCCCAAAAGGGGGTTTATTTCTAAAGATACATTGTTTTAAGTTACTTGAAGTGTGAAGCTAGCTTATATCATGGTTAACATAATAACAACATTCAAATATGCGTCGTTGTGGCGTCGTTAGATTACACGTTGTTACAGAATGCGTCGAAGAAATAAAGGTTCACTGCTCGTTCCCCGTAGGTGATAGCGTGATAATGGTGTCGATTCTGGCGTGATTCTCTAAACTTAAAACTAAATTTAACATCAATCTCTCCTTTTCATTCCGTATATAGAATGACAAGGATACACTGTTGTCAAATTTAAGTTTAGGTTTAGAGAATCTTGTCAGAATTGAGACCAATATGTAGCCTATAATGTTGACCGGACTTCTTAATAATATTCGTGCCAAATTTTAAGTAAATCCATGCAGTACTTAAGTACAGACAAAAAATCTAAAAACTAAATTTTTGGCTTCGGTATCGATTGCAGATCACATTCACACCCAAAGTATTCTTTTAAAAAAATATTCAATGTACAGTTTTGATTTTCCTATCATTATAAGCTTGGATTAGTTACTCTATGTTTTGTCTTTGTTCATAGAATTACAAATAGAATATGATTGATATGAACAAAACGCGGCGTAACTAGTCCAAGCTTATTCCTCGTTTATTAATAAGGAGTCATAAGTTTAATCCAAAACGCTATATTTTGATTGATTTTGACCTAAAATGACTTGGTGGTAAAGTTAAAATTCAGGAATAACGACATTTTGTGCGATTATAATGCGCTGTTATCTGTACCCTTAGTACGAGTTTGACCTCACGAAAACTATCATAGTTTTCGTAATTGTAAAACTCGTACTAAGGGTATTGTACTATACTTAAGGGTGTTCCTTGCAAGTGAAAACAAACATTGAACATGGTAAACAAACAACTCAGCTAAACTAACACCTACTGTTTGCTTTGCAGATTCAGACGCGAAACCTGGTCTGTATTTGTTTGGAGACATAATTAACAGCATTCTTTACACATATGGAATGTTATTGGTCGTGTCCTTACCAAAGCTGCCTACCGGTTGGTCAATACGGCTTCTCACCGGATGGTATTGGCTATATTGTATACTCCTTGTAGTATCGTATAGAGCAAGTATGACCGCAATCCTTGCAAACCCCGCTCCGAGGGTCACAATAGACACGTTGAAAGAACTCGTCGAAAGCAAAATTACCTGCGGTGGTTGGGGCATGGAGACAAAGAGATTCTTCGAGGAATCGTCGGATGAATTAAAGACGATAGGGCAGAAATTCGACATCGCAAACGATCCGTTCGAAGCTGCGAACAAAGTAGCTAGAGGTGCTTATGCATATTACGATAATCATGATTTTCTTAAGTACATCAGGGTGAAGAGGAAGAATGCTAATATGACCTTAGAGCCAGATAAGAGCAACTTTACATTAAATTCTGTCGATATATTAGCAAATAATGATGTAGAAAGAAATTTGCATATTATGTCTGATTGTGTAGTAAACACACCCATTTCTTTGGGTTTCCATAAGAACTCTCCTTTGAAACCGTTAGCTGATTTGTATTTGAGGCGCATTGTTGAAGTTGGCTTAGTTGAAAAGTGGCTCAACGATGCAATGCACCCTATAAGGTCACTAGAGACAACTGATGAAGCTATCAAAGCTCTGATGAATTTGAAGAAACTGTATGGTGCATTTGTAGCTTTGGCTATAGGTTATTTACTGAGTTGGATTTGTCTCATTGGGGAACTTATACATTGGCATGTAATAGTGAAAAAGGATCCCAAGTTTGATAAATATGCTTTAGACATGTATTATATGAACAAAAATAAATAGTTGTGAAATTCACCGTAGCAAAAGTTTATTAATCCATTATCTATAATAAATTTAATATCTATGAATAAAACCTAAAAGGTATTTGAAATTTAGTTTTCTGTTCAGTCATATAGGTATTTTAAGTCTTTTAAAACAGTCAATTCCAACTGCATAGTTCATATTATCTTAACATAGTTTTAAAATTCAACATTACCCATAATTATTTTTGCATCACAACATAAAACTATGAATAATCACTTTAAATGCATAAATTGTAATTAATAACAAAATTATGAAAAATGTTTTTGTTGATTTTTGGACTGCTTTTTTTTCTATAAAATGGCATAATTTATTCTACATTAGCTAACATTAAATAAGATTACAAAACATAAAAAAATATTATTTTTGTTCCGGATTGTGAGCTGGAGGTATAGCTCCCTCCGGAGCATTTTCTAAAATCCAAGGATGTTGCAACACACTAGTTAATGGCAGTCTTTGTTCAGGATTTATCACTAGCAATTTTCCCATTAAATCTTTAGCCTTTTCTGAAATGAATTCGGGATACTTAATTATTACATAGCGTATTTTCCTGTATGTCTGATGGGAGTCTTTGGCATCAAACGGCGGTAATCCAACGAGTAATTCATAACACAACACACCCAAACTCCATATATCAACGGCATAGCTGTGCGGTTTACCTTCAATCATCTCTGGTGATAAATAATCTAGTGTGCCACAAAGTGTCATTCGTCTAGAAGATGGGGAGTGAACCGACCACCCAAAATCTGCTATCTTTAATTCCCAGTTGTGTCCGATCAATAAATTCTCTGGTTTAATGTCACGATGAATAACTTTCTTAGAATGACAGTAAACCAAAGCCCTAGTCAAATCTCTTACATAAATAGCTGCTGTTTTCTCATCAAAACGCCCGCGTTCCTTGAGCAGCTTATAGAGAGCACCTTGTTTTGCATATTCCAAAATTAAATAAATCCTCTTTTCATCATGGAAATATCCGTACATACGTAGAATGTTGGGGTGACGCAAACGGCACTGTATTTCAACCTCTCGCCGTACTTGATGTTCTATTTCAGAGTCCAGTATTTGACTCTTAAAGAGAACTTTTAACGCAACAACATAGTGCGATTCTTTTTCACGGGCTAGGTAAACGTTACCAAATTTTCCCTTACCAAGTGGCCTGCCCAAGTCAAAGTCTGTTAATGTCCATGATTTCTTCTTGTCATCCCTTTTGAGCTCAATTTTTCCAGCTGCAGATTGTTCTTTGTTGTCATTCACGTTTGCTTTAGTACTATTATGCAGTGGTCTGCTAATCGGTACAGCTGGAACTTTAAAACTATCAGCTGGCAGTTTTTGGTTACTAACATTGCAAATGCAACCAGCTTTTCCAGAATTATGCGGACGGTTTTCCTTACATCCGCATTTCGATGCGTTCATTGTCACAATAAGTCTTGTTAAACTGTACCAACAATAATCAACATGCACTTTAAAACAACTCCGCCGAAATAAAGTCGTAGCAAAACTTGAATGAGTGAAGTAACGTATTTTTGCGTCAGGCAGGTTTTTAATTTCGTGATAATGTTGCCATACTTTATTCTAAATAAATGGTAAAATAAACGAATTTTACCATTTATTTAGAACAAAGTATGGCAAAACAAACATAATACCTATTTATTTATAATATATTTATTATATAGAAATTTAACAAGAAATTACGTAGTAACATGAATTTAAGTTGTAATAAATTTCAAAAGCAAAGTTATTAAAAAGTAAAAATACAGACTACACAAAAGATAGAATTTAAAAGGTAGAAAAGGCCTAAGCTGTTTATAATGCGGCTTACAGTCATTGAGCGCACATCATCTTTATTTAACATTGGAAAAAAGAGGAACATTTTTTATTTTAGATATGCAATGGTATCGATTCTGGCATGATTCCCTAAACTTAAGACGAAATTTAACATCAATCTCTCCTATTTATTCAGTATAGAAAATGACAAAGTTACACTGTTATCAAATTTAAGTTTAGGTTTAGAGAATCTTGCTAGAATCTCACCACTGTTTATATTAATAAGTATGTAGGTACCTAATAAATACATGAATAGGTACCTATTTTAAGTTTAGTGTGATGTGGTCCTATGAGATTTATAGGTGTGGACATGGAATATGAATAAGTAAACAGTGTAAATGGATACAAGTGATCAGCCAGGTAAGAGATTTATTTAAAGTTTCACAGATAATAATCACTAACAAAGATGCAAGTGCAAGCAAACTGATTATAAAGTGGTCGCAACTGCCTGCCTGCATTAGCTAGGAATCTTATCTATAATAAAAGTAATAACAAAAAATGTGAGCCGTCACGGGACGCTTTGCCTGGCAGATGTGAAACATCATTTAAATTTTGTAATATGCAGAAAAGAACGACTGCGATAGAAACTAAATACGGCATAGTGATAAAATAAAATTATACGACTTTTTCCAGAAAATACTGGCTGTTTATTTATGAAACATTTATTTTCATTAAAAACGAAACATCGAAATTGACGTTTCACATCAAAAATATCTTAAAACTGTAAATCACCATTCTGAATCGCCTGATTCTCTAAACGTAAAACCAATATAAGCAATAAAATTTAAGCAGTCTTAAATTTTAATTCTCTATTAGAGTATATTAAGGGCAAAGTGCTATCAAAATAGTTAATTGTATATATTAAGAGCTATGATTTTAGAGAATCAGGCTAAACTTGCCTACTTGATAATGTTATAAGCTGGCAATAAAACAGCCGTAACATTTATAAGGTCAGATTAAAATTGTCTCCTCTCGGTCACACTCCCAGTGAAAAATTGTAAGAGTTTAATGGAATTAAGTAAGTACAAAGATCTTTATTATACTAAGTAACAGTTTTAGGCAACAGAAAAAATTATCAAGGCTATATGTATTTTTTAAAGTAACAGTAAATATATTGACCGAGTTAATTGAAACAATTACAAGAAAATGAAGCGTACCTTATAGATGCGCTGCGAACAATCAATCAGTGACAGTGACATTCCCTTTCCACCTACTGTATTAACAGCTGTTGTGTGGCAAATTATTTTCTCATGCTTCTTACCGCAATTTTTATAATAAAATAAAGTCATTCTCTAGATTTTGTAAGATAATTAATTATAATTAAAGTCCTGTTTTGTAGATCAGCGAACATTTTGTAACTCTTTAAGCAAGCGGCAAGTAAGTAGATTTATGATTATAAAAATTTAAACACAAAAAAATACAAATTTTCTTGATTTTTTATGCAAAATCCGTAGTTTGATAATTAAAGGCTATAGTTATACATAAATTTTACCGAGCAGAAAATGTTTGGTGTGTGTCATATTTTTTTAACTTTTAGTTGAGGTTATACTTGGTTGGGTTGTATAACTAAATTGTCAATGTTACAAAAGGTTTTAGAATTAGTCGTTCTCCTTTGATAAAATGTTCTTGAATCAAATTACAGATCGAATATAAAATGTCAGATGATGCTGAGCAACAGGCTGAGGAAATAGAGGTCCTGAAGTCTATTTATGATGGGGATGAAAATTTCAAACAGCTAGATTCAAAAACTTATCAATACAAGGTATCAAAAAAAATCTATTCATACATTAGTATTAAGTAAGCTTTGTAAACTTTTTTTATTATTGGGAAAATGTGTGACGCATACGCCACTGGGTAAGAGATGGGGCTATGTGGGACTCCTCCTCCCCCCAAATCCCGCCCACACGCTCAGCCAAACTGGCTCAACGGCTACTCGGAATGAGGGGGGGGCGTACCCACTAAAAACCCAACAGTGCTTCCTCGCCTGCCGGAATGGGTTTCGTGGGATCCTGGTGACTCACCACATTAAGCTTTGTAACCCTAATAATAATGTAAATAAACTTAATTAAATTACATAATTGCTACATATTCTTTTCCGTTTAGCTTACCTATACCGCGAAGGTTATCTGGAAGAGATCGCTTGTAGCGATAAGACTGCCTTTGCCCATATTATTGTTAAATGTCTTCTTTGTACCTATGTCCTTTTGTATGTGAGCAATAAAGTGTTTATTATTATTATTATAATTGTATTTTAAATATTTTTACATTATGCAAAAACATGATGAATCAACTTGTATGCTAAGACAATAGTATATAACATACAGTTAAATATAAATGTATATTTTACTTTCAGTATATAGATGGCGATAAATCTTTTATATTGGAAATTTCATGGGGGCCCACATATCCGACAGATAAACCTAAATTGAACATGGAAATATTTTATAATCAGAATATGTAAGTATAATTGTAACATATCTTGTGAACTTCCATAAATTCCCTAATCAATGGAATTGATATATTGGTCAAAAGGAGAACTTTGTTTTATTAATTAGATTATGAAATGAAGATTAGTATCAACAGAGTTGAGTCTTAGCTTCATGCTTTGTTACTGACACAGAACACTTTTTGATTGTCAATACATCTTAACACATACTAAGTGAAAGTAACTGGACATAAAAAATATTGTTATGTTATGATTTTTTATTTTATTTTTAAGCATTTAACTGCTAGATGTTTAAATCTAAAGAAAAGTTTACTAGAAAAAAATCCATTTGGACCAGGCAGCGGACGGAGAATACTTGAAAAAGTATTCATTTGACATTGTGGGTTACCTACAATGCGAAGAGATGGCGCTGCCTTGCAGCTTAACGCTAGAATTCGACGCCGCTAATAGGGCCGTGGTAGCATAATGGTCAGTGCATTCGCCCGGATTGCGAAGGATGCGGGTTCGGGTCCCGTCCGCTGCCTGGTCCGCGTGGATTTTTTTCTAGTAAACTTTTCTTTATATTGTTATGTGTCGGGATGGGGTTCAAATTTATATGCCAGTTCAGACTTGACAGTTCTTTATTCACCACACAGTTCACACAATTAATACACAATATTAATTACTGAACACTCACTAAACACTGTATTTCAGTATACAAATCTCTAAACAATCGCACTTGAACACTTTTGTTGCACTTTGATCGGCTTTGGATTTGCTCCGAAATCACTGTTGAAACTCAACTGTCTCTGCGCGGCGCCAATCGCCCTTCTATATGCCGATCGACGCATTCTAGAAAGTACCTGTTAAATTGAGAATTAGCTAGCACCCGCGAGTACGAAGTTACTACTTATAACTTTGCAGATGTTGTTGCACTTTCTCCCTTACGCCGCACTGCATAAGGCTCATTTTAGAATAAGCCGCATTACTCGACCTCTATCGCATCCCGCGGTGCTCGGGCAAATTCGATCTCTAGCACTTTCGCTGTTACGTTTCGAGAGTTTGTGACAATATTTATGTCTGCACAGGGAGTGGATTGGCAGACACAAAAGTGACCATGATCGCGCAGCTCCTCACATAGCATCCCAATTAACTTAATAAGGCCATTTCATTTAAAAGTGAAATTAATGTAATATTCATAGAAAATTTACTAGAAAACTAGCTGTTTTTAGCACTCAACAGTAACTAAAGTAATAAAATAACATGATTTTTTCAGATTACCGTCTATTAAGGAAAAGGTTTTATCGATAGTAAATGCGGAAGCTGAACAGTGGCTAGGTTGTGCAATGACATATACTCTGTTCGAGTGTCTCAAAGAAAAGGTGACAGAGTTGTTGGCAGAGCAGACGGAGGAGGTGATCTCAACGAGAGTAGAAAAAATTCATATTGATGATCAGGTAATTAATGAGTTTTTAAATGTGAATAATAAATACAAATTTATTTATTATTATAATCGATTAATTTGAGCAAAAGAGTGAAAACTTTTTTGTTGGCTCGTATGTTTATTTCACTAAAGAATGTCCACTATAGACAGTGCCGTCTTTGACCTATTGGAGGCCCTGGGCATATTAGGATAATGGGGCCCTTATGACCCCCGTTTTGTGATTTAACAGGAACTTTTGTATTTGATCCCCTATCGATCGCGGGGCCCTGGGCACTTGCCGAAAGTGCCCACTGGGAAAGAAGGGTCTGACTATAGATACCTATGCTGATTTAAATTTCTCAATAGTAATTATAAAATAACATTAATTTTTCTATCATGTCTAACTTTATTATTACATTTTGAGTATTATTAGTGTCTCTGATTCTGGCATAACTCTCTAAATAAACTTTTACAGAAATCTTTTCCGTTCATTCTCTATGGAGTATAAGAAGATAATTACTTATACTGCTGTTAAATTTAGTTGTAGGAAACATGAGAATCAGGGGTAGTATTTTCATTACCAACAATACTTTCTGACGAACTCCGTGTCCGAGTGGTTTGTACACCGGGTTGCAAGGGGACAGATGTTTGTGTGATGCATACGTGCATTTGTGCTCCAGTTTTTTTTTATTTATATAGAAACCAACTGCGTTACAAAGTATATATGCATACCCACATGGGTCTAAATTATATTCTAGAAGTAAAGCTAATTACTGGGTTCCTCTATATCAGTGTTTCCTAACCTTTCCAATACTGTTACCCCTGTAACCTATTAGGAAAACAGATTTTACCTTGACTTTAAAATGTTATCATCAGTCCAAGAAATTCCAATTTGGTCGCTACATCTTCGTCTCTAATAATGTCATCATCAGGAGGAAATCTCGCCCCACTTCCCACACTCAGCACCCCGCGGGCTCGCTAGCAAGAAGGAGCGCATGCTCTATTTAGAAGTATTATTATATAGTATTTTCTTATTATTTAGATTTAACCAAATAATTAGGTTCTTTGTTACCCCCGAAGTATGGCTGATTTACCCCCGGAGGGGTAATTACCCCCAGGTTCGGAACCCAAGCTCTATATACATCATTATTTGTTTAGACAGATGTAACTCATGAATGTTTAGTATGTTTTTCTATATAAATATACTTATATATGTATCACTATACATATAACTATGTTATTCTATCTGTTACCCTAGTATCCCATAACACAAGCCTACAGTGCCTACTTAGGGTCTAGGTTAATTGGTGTGAGTGTTGGATATATTTATTTATTTATCACTCCTTTTACCGTAGAACGAAGTGGAGAATACTAAAAAGGAGAAAAAGGAGCATCTAACGAAGGCCCAGAAGCGTCGCGCGTGGGACAAGGCTGAAGTGGGACGCGGCGGCGAGAAGCCCCGCGGGTGGGACTGGGTCGATATCGTGAAGCATCTGTCCCATGTGAGTAATTTAAACTTTGTAGGCAAGGACCCATTAATCGGATTAAAAAGTTAACCGGTAAGACCAAAACCCTGTATATTTATTAATCCTTATGCAGCAAACTGTTTATTGTAATATGGATTAATCCTAGGAATATTGCTGATTAACCCGTATGAAAGAGACTGTAGATGTAGACTAGTGTAGAGTACTTTCCATCTACGAGCTCCGCCATTCCGTGGCATTGTAATTAAAAACTTTAAGAGAAAGCACCAAAGAATCAATTTAGCTTGGTGTAATGACGACGAGGTCATGTCAAGTTATAACTCGTCACTTCACTGAAGGGCCAATCACAGCTAGCTAGCCGTGTGTCTCTTTCTATGTATGAATTTTGAACAAAAAAGGACTCTACGTAAGAACCGGTTTACATAGAGGTTATTAATCAATTATACAGGTTAACCCTTTATGTCAGGTTTTTAACCTAATCGTTAAAATTAAACCGATTAAAACACCTATACGGGTACCCATATCGGTCCTTGTTTGTAGGATTCCGTACCTCAAAAGGACAAAAAGGAACCCTTATAGGATCACTTTGTTGTCCGTCCGTCTGTCAAGACCGTTTTTCTCAAGAACGCGTGGAGGTATCAAACTGAAATTCGTATATAATACTCATGTCAACTGTTCGTTGGAGCTGTGAAAAAATCAAATTTCTAAGCCAAAGCAATCAAAATACACAGCCGTTTGTGCCGCAAATTTTCGAAACTCGCACGGGAAGCAATACCTACAGAGTAATTCCCGTGAACTTAGAATCTTGAAATTTGGTATGAAGTAACGTCTTATAGTACAGATAAAGGAAAAATGGCGAAAACCGTAAATTTTTAGTTACATCATATAATAAAAAATATTTAAAAAAAAAAATAAAGTTACAATTGCTTTTCTCATGAATGCGTAGAGGTATTAAATTGAGTTTGTACGGAACTCTCGGTGCGCGAGTCCGAGAGTCTTTTTGAGTTGGAACAAACGTGCCTACCGAAGCACGGAGGAGCTCGAGATAATAAATTTTTGGTCACCCATCCAATGACCGACCACGGCAAAAGTTGCTTAACTTCAACGATCGCAGCCGAACGCGCTAACCACTTGCGCCATCGAGCTCCTCCTGTGTAAAAATTAACTCATATAGTTAGTAGGATGACGAACTTTTCTCATTGTTTTTTCAGGTGCCCCACCAGCCTACCTCATGACACGTGCAGGGATAAATGGGTGCCACTTATAAAAGTAACTTTACAGACTATTTTCTTGAATGGTGTAAAAAATATGGTGACATATATATATCTTGTGTTTCCACCGTCATGAAATTGTGACTCGTAATAAGTTTGTGAATGTTAAGAATGTATACTGTTCATCGACAGGTTTTATCATCAATAAAAATCGTATTAGTTATGGCTTAAATTGTTTTAAGTTATTATTACTATTTCAAGTTAATTTTATTTTGATTATTATTGATATACCGTGTTTTATAAAATATATTTTTTTCTTCGATGTTGCGACACCATGAGATATATATATATATATATAAATTCTGCTGAAATTTTGGTGTAACAAGCGATTGTATCGTAGAAATATTTAGCTGATATCGGTACCTATGTAGGTATGTATGTATTTGTAAATGTCTGATAATAAAATTTCTCACTGTTAAATAAATGTGTTTACTTAATTTATAAAAATGTATTATTTTCTTAGTATACCTCCACTTATATTGTGTATACGTTTTGAAGAACTTTAAGTCGTGAATCGCTTGTGCTGTATTTTAAAGGCTTATAGAAATTCTTTGCATTCTTAGGGTGAAGTTCAAGCTAAAATCGCCTTTAAGGTGTTCTTAAGCATTATATTGCTATGGATCATGTTCCAATAGGGTATTTGACAAGTTTTAGAAAACGATCTCACGTTATTGACTGATGTTTATGGAGTCCGTAAAAATTCATCATTCTGTTGTGTATTTCAATAAAAATAACCAAATCAAAAACTCTATTTTCAAGTTGCCGCGAAAACGTTTATCTGGACAATATGGCGTCTTACTAGTGTGTGACGTCACACGACTGTTATTAAAGCGTCAAACGATACAATGTAATGCCACTTTAACCGGAAGTTTACTTACGTGTGACGTCATTTTAGGCTCGGCCAATCCCAAGCGTTTTGGGTCACGTAACAATAGATAAGAAAACTTATCTTTTTCGTCGGGTTTTTAGTAAAATTATGAATAAAACTAGTTTTTACGGGTTAATGCACGAAACTTTATTTATTTATTGACGTTTGATATTATGAATATTTTTTTTTGTAAAAATAGTAAAAGCCCCTGCCAATATTCATTCTTAACACAGATGCTAACAATTGGTACTTTATTTTTAATACTGTCAAATACCCTATTCAAGTAACTTTCGTATAGACTGCTGGTACTGCCTTGTGTAGTTTTTATACTTAACTTATTGTGTACTCTGTGACAAAAACCAACAATGTGTTTGTCCGTTCTGATTATATTAATACAGACTTTTTTCTTTATTGACTTTTTAATGATTTTTTATTTCTTTTGATTCCTATCCATTTTTCTACAATAAAATAATTATTATTTTATGATTATGAAGCACATATTACACATATATACATGTATTTGGGATGACTAGATTTTTGTTCTTTAATTTGTCATATAATATACCTTTATGTGAAAAAATATAATTTATCCAGATAGTTAACAAATTTAGTTGAAAAAACTTAAATTAATGATACTAATTTCTAATTATTTTTTATTAGTCAAAACATGGTTCTTTTTTAAGATGCTAAACGTACACAATATAAACGTAATAATTTATCAAGTTTTATTTTAATTTAATGTCTACCATTAAAGAGAATCACAATTTATATATGTAAGAATTTTGTATTTTGTTTTATGCAGACTTATCGTACTATAAAGTATTGAATCACGCCGTGTTAGACAAAGACATGGAATTCTACTTAGCACGAACCAATATCGAATTCGAATAGTTTGCGAGTCCGAAAGGTCATTGTCAAATGTGTACTGATTTTTAGTTCTCGTTGCGTATTTTGTGGCGCTGCTGTTCAAGTTTCCATACAAAATTTTACATTGACATTTCGCACTCGCAAATAATTCGAATTCGATAATGGTTCGTGCTAAGAATACTATACACTGACAAATGTCACTGCATTTAGATCTTGTAGAGATGGTGAGCTATTTTAGTAGGTCAACTATCATAGTTGTGTCGAATCTGACATGATTCCCGAAACTTACAATTAAATGTAACATCAGTCTCTCCTCTTCATTCTGTATAGAGAAAAACAAGGATAAACTGTTGTCAAACTTAACTTTATGTTTCCGAAATCATACCAGAATCGATACTAGAATTAATCGATAGAAATACATGTCTTAAGGCAGAAATTTACTTATATGTCATCATCATCATCAGCCTATTAATGGCCCCACTGCTGGGGCACAGGACTTATGTGTCATGTTGTGTTGTAATTGTGTAGAACTGTATTTGTGTGTCGCGATGTGTCGACAGCGTTCACAGCTAAGGCCCGTAATACAGAATGACAACTAAGTGTTGATCTTCACTTGAGTACAGTTAGAAAGGGATGTCGCTATGTGCTTTATATAGCGACATCCCATTCTATCTATGCTCAAGACTAGATTAATTACTGAGAATCCATCTATAATACGGGCCTAAGTGTTTTAAATGTATGAAACCAATAGATCTCTGACGCGTCACAACACAACACAACAGATCAGAGTAGTTCTGTCATTTGCCATCTATTTAAAAAAAAACACAAATACGTACCCTATCTTATATAGCTACGTGATTGACACCTTTGAAGAAATATAAATAACTGGAAACTGGAGATACTAATGAAAGGCAGAAATGGCGAAAGCTACGGCCGTAAAACACCAATAAAAAAAAGTAGTTCAGCCATTAGTGTTAAAAAAATAAAATTGACTTTTTGGCGGGATCGGGAAGCGCCACTTTAGCAGTTTTGTTTTTCTTGTTAAAAATTGTGTTGTGGCGGATGTTGTGTCTAATAATGGTGGATTATTAACCACTAAGTGTTCGGGAACATGCACAAGTGTTGGCAAGTGAAACAAAATAGCGGAAAGTGCCTTTGACGTTCCCTCATGAAGTCCACGGGGAGGTTCCAGTAAATCCCCACACTTTTACTGAAAATAATATAGATTGACTTGACTGCCACTTACTTTTGATTTTTTACTTTGACCACGAGTGCTATAGTATTTGTAAACATTTTAACACTTGACATTGGCTAAATACACTAGCCGTGCGAAGCCATTTAGAAAAAAAAACTGTGAAGTGGCGACATCTATTGGTGACTTGAGTTAACATTTCTATAGGAAATAAAAACAAAGTTACAAGGAATTAAAATTTAATTATGTGCTTGAGAATATTGTTTTGCCAATTCCCGGAAACTGTTATGATATAACAAAATAATAAGAAATCGTGCCTCTTTTTACTTTCAACAGATCGACAACCATAGAATGTTTATTCGCTTCATTTCATCATTAGATATGGCTTTATACGATATACAATTGCCTTTTAAATTATATGTTTTTCCTACTGCAACAATACATTCATATTTCGTGTTACCCATACAGATGCACGTTAATTATTTTATTGTATAAATGAATAAAATTGTGTTTATAAATTCTTACTTTTTTATTTTTAAACCGAATCCCGTAAATTATATTATGACTTCAAGTAATATATAAGTCGGAAATTTATTCTTCCTTGATCCCGTTCAAAGTTCTATTGTAGTTCAAGTACGCGGCAATATGACATTGCTATTTTAATTTCGTTCCCGAACAAGAAATGGATATCGCGGGAAAAGTAAAAGCGAAGAAGCGGCACTCGCGACTCAAAAGTGATCCGCTTAAATTGTGGTACATGACCACATGGTCGCTTTAGTCACATTTGGACATCTAAACATCAAACATGATGCATGTGCACCAAGAAGCTTATATACAACTCAATATGACAATGGTAGCTTGCCAATTACAGCATTATAGCGCATTAGGGTTGGACCTCATCTGGCAGCACGGAATCGCCTATTTCCGTCGCCCTTTCTCTTTCTGTCGCTTAGAATTGCCATTTGCTAGACTGAGACAGAAAGAATAATGCGATAGCACGCGGCGGAATCCAGGCGATCGGCATCACGGACAAAATGCAATAGTCGGCAGGGAGACTCCGGAACGCTGAAGCGCGCGATAGCATGCTAACGCATCCTTTCACCGCCGATCACTTGCTATCGCATGCTGTCTCACTCTATCGTACAATGGCTCACGCGGCCGCTCGCCAGCTCAGTGCAGACTGTTCATTCATGCCGTATGGATGGAAATAACAATGACTGACGAAAATTTGATAGTTTTAGTGCAGAAATATACACGCTAGAATCACTGCTCTCTCTTCCGTGGTCCTATCCATCTCGCGCTTGAAACTAAACTGATTATGAAAGAACGCCGCAGTATGCCACCCATGCTGCAGCATGCTGACGCGTGCGATCACCTTTTTTGTCTGCGGAATGCGACAGCGCGCGTTTGCATGCGGCAGCATACTGCAGCACGTGGTAGCACAGGCGGAACAAATGCGATTCCGTGCTGCCAGATGAGGTCCAACCCTTATGCGGCATAATGCTTAACGTTGAGTGTTTCAACTACAGCAACGCTTCGCACAATCGAGCACTCTCAAAAGTAATGCTTTCTTGTGATGCGTGCAATCGTACCAACACAGAGACAGAAAATTAACAAGTGTTTTTTCTTTAAGTTGGCATTGATCGAAATGTTTTATTTATATGTTATCGTTAGTAATATTATTTATTGTTGAAAAATTATTAAAACTTTCGTTTCATTATAGTTTTTTTTAAAATACACAAAGTTAATTTAAACTGTGTTAAAAAATAAAATATAAATATGGATGAAGGTACAAACATTGACTATTTTTTTCAACACTGAACTTAGCGCACTCTGCTGGTGCATTTAAAAACTAATTCACGTTCCAATTAAGCATGAGCATAATTCGGCATTGTGCGCCACTGAGTCGCATTATGCTCTGTAATTGGAAAACCACCAATATTGCGTATTAAATAAAACTAGTTATAACGGGTTAATGCACGAAACTTTATTTATTGATTTCAGCTTTTTCACGATAAAACTAGTTTTATTTAATGAGTGATATGCGTGAAAACCTAAGAAACAAAGGACAATGTTAAAATTGGCCTAAGAACCAACACCAATTTGGCATTTATGATAATTCTTAGTATATTTTTTGCGATAATTATCAGTATTTAGATTGTGACGGACACTTCCAGTTAAGTAAGCTAAATTAAAAAAATTAAAAATAATATGAGACAATAAATACCATTTTATGTGTATAATCTATGGCAGCGCTGCAAACAAAACACTCTTTTTTCCTAATGCCGGCACTTCACTTGGCTATTCGTATTTGCTATTTTAAAACATGACATCAGTCTGTCCTTTTCATTCCTTATTAAGCATGACAAGGACAAACTGCTGTTAAGTGAAGGGCCGGCATAAAACTCGTTACTCTGTGGTTGTGGTGCATGCAGTTTGCATTCTTAGGCCCGTATTACAGAATGACAACTAAGTGTTGATCTTTACTTGAGTACAATTAGAAAGGGATGCCGCTATGTGATATAATAGCGACATCCCTTTCTAACTATGCTCAAGACTAGATCAGTCACTGAGAATCTTTCTATAATAAGGGCCTTAGTAATCTGTGACATTCGTGCATTCCAAAGAGTAGTTTAATTTACTGGAAAGTGCATTCTCGTTTCGGATTACCTGTTGTGTGTGTTTATTTGCGATTGTTTTTCCTTTAATTCAACTATTTCGGCTATCCGATATGCCATCGATGTTACCAAAGAGCAGAGCCCTTATTACCAAGTGCTAGTGAACGTGTGCCACAGCATCCTGAGAGGATCATACTGCCAAATTATTCAAGAACACCCGATACACATTCACGCTGCATATTTACACAATATACATGTGATACACAAATAAATACAATATAAAATGAATTAGTTGTAATATCAATTCACTTCATAGTGAGTTCATACTAAATTCATAGGTTGACCTATGTTTCATTGAATATTAAACATAACCTCAAAAATATTGTAGTTTTCCTAATAATTTAAGCTCTCAGAAGTGTCCGTCAATAATCTTTGTTTGTACAGTCATTTACTTACGATTTTGAATTAAGAAAATAATATTTCATGATTGTTGATTCTTAGGCTAACTATGTATGGACGCTGAACAATGTCCATTGCATATATTCTGTGTTATAAAGATAAAACAATACATCCGATGCTTTTATAAAGAACACAAATAGTTCAAGTTCAAATAACAAGTGCCACCGCAACACTTTTCGTTCGTAAAACTTTAGGCGCGCCACAGTTATGTTTGAGCAAATGCTCATAACTTGACCAAAACTTGGTTCTGATTGCGTCGTTGCTCTGTGGTGTGAGTGCTGATTGGTACTATCGTTTGATTGGCTATTATCTATTAAGTGGTATATAACTTCCTTGAGTAAAAGTCGTACAAATTAGTCCCCAGCATAGATTCTAGGAGCTCGGTCGATTTATTATTGTAGGTACTAATATGTCGAAGAGATACCATGGATGCTTTTTATTAGGAGTTTAATAAAGACAGGAATATACAATTTGCTACGGATACGCTTCGGTATGAACGTGTTCCGCTTGATTCATGCCTAATTTTATTATTTTAAAAGCAGTTTTTTTCCAAATTTCCCTTATTTCTTATCAATTTAAACATTATATTTTCCTTAATGATTTTTTTATGAAATCTTAATTAATAATTTATTTTCCGTAAGTGAACGGGCCGTTTCCACGGGCGAAGGACTTTACTAATAGGTATGGTCCTGTATGGTCACTAATTAATGTCAAAAGTAGTATCAATTATCTGTCAACCGACCTAACCAACCATCAAATTAGACGTTTACTCATTCAAAAATCAGATTTTAGGTTAATTTTATCAATAAAAAGACATGTTTTACACCAAACAAGAGTGGTATACCCCCGCCGAAGTCGCAGTCCACAACCGCGCGGACGACTGCTGGGTGTCTCTCAACGGCAAAGTCTTCGATCTGACTCCGTGGCTTGAGCAGCAGCTCAAGCTCTGCAAGTGCACCAAGACCTGCTCCTGTAAGGTCAAGACCTGGTTCTGTGAGGACACTTGCACTGAACTGTGCGATTGCTTCAAGAGGGGGTTCGGCTATTGCGACGCGAAGAGAGTGGGTAACCGTTTTTGTTAATTTTTATTTAGTAGTAAGTTGGTCTTTATTAAATCGGTCGACACGGAGACTGTGAACGTCTCCTGCACCATCTAGGGGTCTGAGGACATCAGCTAGTAGGTCTCTTATTGAGCTTGGGCAGTCTTAATAGATCAGGAGTATAGTCTGTGGTTTTACCTAGTGGTTAGGTTAGGTCAACTGCTTGGTATCTCTCAACGGTAAAGTCTTCGATCTGACTCCGTGGCATGAGCAGCAGCTCAAACTCTGTAAGTGCACCAAGATCTGCTCCTGTAAGGTCAAGACCTGGTTCTGTGAGGACACTTGCACTGAACTGTGCGATTGCTTCAAGAGGGGGTTCGGCTATTGCGACGCGAAGAGGGTGGGTTATCTTTTTTGTTAATTTTAAGTTCGTAGTAAGTAGTTCTTTATTAAATCGATCGACACGGAGACTGTAAACGCCTCCTGCACCATCTAGGGGACTTAGGACCTTAAGCTAGTAGGTCTCTTATCGAGCTTGGGCGGTCTGAACAGATCAGGAGTAAAGTCTATGGTTTTACCTAGTGGTTAGTTTAGGGCAACTGCTTGGTATCTCTCACCGGTAAAGTCTTCGATCTGACTCCGTGGCTTGAGCAGCAGCTCAAGCTCTGCAGGTGCACCAAGACTTGCTCCTGTAAGGTCAAGACCTGGTTCTGTGAGGACACTTGCACTGAACTGTGCGATTGCTTCAAGAGGGGGTTTGGCTATTGCGACGCGAAGAGAGTGGGTAATCTTTTTTGTTAATTTTCAGTTCGTAGTAAGTACAAGTAGGTCTTAATCAAATCAATCGATACGGAGACTGTGAACGCCTCCTGCACCATCTAGGGGACATAGCACCTTAACCTAGTAGGTCCCTTATTGTGCGTGGCCAGTCTTAATAGATCGTTACGACCACACCCGCAATTTCGACACATATTTTGGTGCCCTAGGTTGTCAAAGTTCGTGGTACAAGGATTATCATCTGTGATTTAGTGGTTAGGTTAGCACGACTGCTTGGTATCTCTCAACGGTAAAGTCTTCGATCTAACTCCGTGGCTTGAGCAGCAGCTGAAGCTCTGCAAGTGCACCAACATTTGCTGCTGTAAGATCAAGACCTGGTTCTGTGAGGACATTTGCATTGAACTATGCGTATGTTTTGGATTCGACGAGAGATCTCTTTCTCGAAGTTCTCTCTCATCGAATCCAACTCGGATGGGCAGCGTACGGGAAGCTGCGGACATCTTCGCGTCCAAAATACCTCAGTGCCTTAAGACGAAAGTCTTTAACCAGTGTGTGTTGCGAGTGATGACCTATGGCAGTGAGGCGTGGTCGTTTACTATGGGTCTCATAGGACGGCTCAAGGTCGCCCAGCGGGCAATGGAGAGAGCTATGCTTGGTGTTTCCCTGCGTGATCGAGTCAGAATTGACGAGATCCGTAGGAGAACTAAAGTCACCGACATAGCTCGAAGAATAGCCCAGCTGAAGTGGCAGTGGGCGGGACACATAGCGAGGAGAACCGATGGCCGTTGGGGCGGAAAGGTTCTCGAATGGCGACCGTGTGCCGGACGACGCTCAGTGGGAAGACCCGTTACAAGGTGGACCGACGATCTGGTGAAGGTCGCGGGAAAACGCTGGATGCGGGCAGCGCAGGACCGATCGTTGTGGAGATCCTTGGGGGAGGCCTATGTCCAGCAGTGGGCGTCGTACGGCTGATATGATGATGATGATGATAATGCGTATGTTTTACTCTGTGTTTCCTTGAAAAGCGCAATGTAGAATGAATCTTGTAGATTTATTTTATTTCTATCTTCACGCACATTCTGTGTGTGCGTAGGCAGTAGGTAGACTTGCCAGATGGCCGGGAAATCCGGGATTTACCCGGAATTTTGCGTCTTGGTCCCGTGCCTAGTAATTAGACCATATTGTCCCGGACTCCGATAATGTGCTAGTTTCGTAACAAAATAAACTCATAACGATTGACACCGCTGGGTTGCTTGATGTTTTAATTCTGGAGGGTGATGGGGGGTATTGATACTTTATTTTTTCAGGTGGGGTGGATTAAGAGAGGATTCGGCCATTGCGAACCGGAGAGGGTGGGCTCCCTCTATTTTTTTAATTTCCGATTAGCAGTAGGTAGTTACCAATTCTTCTCTTATTCAATATTTTTAGCAGTGGAATACTGAAATGTGTTTGCTACAGTGGGGATTAACCATTCCATGTTTGGACTTGAGAAGTTGAAAGAGAAGTTTGAGTGTTGATAGTGGACCTAACAGAATGCGTATTAACCCGTATTACTAACAAGTCTTACTACCCATAGTTATGAGATAATTATAATTTTTTAAACTTAAAACTAAATTGTCTCTCCTTTTTGTTATTTAGAGATGACTACCGTCATATTATTTTTAGTTTTAAGCATCCCTAAATGAGCTTATTAAACTTAATGCTGTAATATAACTTTACTTAACCACCACTTTACATCAGGTGGGGAACAGTCATTTGCCTACCTAGCTTTACTATTGTATTGCCTAAAAAACACGTAGGAACGGTGCCATACTAATTATTAGTTATATTATAAAGAAAATATTACTAGAAAAAAATCCGCATTAGCAGCAGACGGGACTCGAACCCGCACCCTTCGCTATCCAGGGGAATGTACTGACCATAATGCTACCGCGGCCCTGATGGCCGTGTCGAATTCTTTCTAGCCTTTCTTAAGCTGCAAGGCAGAGCCATCTCTTCGCATTGTAGATAATCCATAATGTCAAATGAGTTATATATTTATTTTTTAAGCATTTGACTGCTAGATGTCCCAATATAAAGAACATTTTACTAGAAAAGAAAATATCCACGTGGACCAGGCAGCAGACGGGACCACTTTTAATTTACTAATTATCAGTCATACGCAGTAACTATTTAATATTCAGTTAGCAATGACCATTGTGGCTTACGCCGGCAAGGACGTGAGCCACTGGTTCAAAGGCGAGGAGTGGGCGACGTACACGCACCCTGTGACGATGTTGGAGACCACGTACCAACTGCATGGTCACGGGGCTCGGCAGCCGGTAGTGCCTTCAACCAGATGGAGGCCGCTCAAGAAACCCTGGTGGCTGAACGAGGACTACGTCATGGGAAAGGCCACGGCGAAGACCAGGCCTCTGCGAATCATTAACACACTGACAGGCAAGAAATTACAACCTTGAATCTCACACTTATTACGTTAAATAAAAGTCATTATTTTACACTGCACGCTCCTTATCGCCAGAACGCAACCACTTGGGACCGTGTCTAGCAACCGAATGACCGTTCGCTGTCCTCGTTTTCTAACGAAACCGCCATTAGTCAAAATAATAGCTTTATAAAAATGAAAACGGAAATACGAAAATACTAAAACAGGAAACGGATAAACGTTTAGGGAATAAGTTAGCAATTGATGGATAAGTGAACACGTGGACCACTAATATTAAATAAATCAGTGTATCTATCATTAAATAAAACAAGTTTTAACAAAGGAATGATGCATCTATACCGTTGATCCCCCCACGACAACGGCTAACTAGAGCTGAGGTCCGAGTCTCAGAGACGTCCTCTAGTTGAGCCCACCCCCTCAGGTTCGAGTGGTCTAGAGGCTCCAGACGGGGCGAGACTCCCCACGTGGGGAGACACCATCCGCCTGGAATACCTCTAGAGGCACTCGCCAATTCTCGGCTTGAGGTCCCCTTAGGATCTCGCCGTCCCCAAACCCGGTGACGCTGTAAAGGTCATCTGCGACCAACAGCATACACACACAAAAAAAACCGTTGTAACTTGTTTTTTTGAATGTGACTTGTTATTGCTATGTTATTTTTTTATGAAATTCGTACGGACCTGCTTAATAAAATACATTTGCTTAATCCAGTCTAGCTAACGTGTAGTTTGGTACATTTCTCTCAAAAGATTCTTATTCTTGTTTCTGTGTGGATACGCAATAAAACACCTTTTCGTGACGCCAAGTACGAACACCCTTTCGCAATGGCGGGGCAAGACCTAAATTTGATGTGGACAAGACAGATTTCGCGAGGCCTTTTTATATAAAAAAAAACGCTTTTAAGCAATGCATAAAATTTTTTGAGGCGCGAGGCCCCTTGTACCGCGAGGCCGTAGGCGGTGGCCCACGTCGCCCACGCCTTACGCCGCCTCTGCCCTTTCGTGTCGCCAATTCAGCATCAACCATATCACCGCTTTCACCATTTTTCCGTCCAGGTTCAACCGTTACATTGGAGGTATGCTCCGAGGAGACGATATACCAGATCATGATGCGTTACCTGCCTCACAATGGCCATATGCAGTCGTACACCTGGCGGTACCTCGGCCGAGCTCTCTGCCTGGACAAGACCCTGGCTCAGAACGGCATTCCCGATGAGAGGGATCGTTTCAGCGACGTCGCGCTCCCAGAAAATCTGCACATACCCGCCATTTTGATTTACTTCAACGATGACTTGACAGAAGGTATGGGCCTACGGTGTCTATGGTCAAAGCGAGACTAAGGATTTGGACACGTTATTTTCACGGTTTCCCGTGTCCAAATCCTTAGTCGCTTGGGTACAAGTCCGCCTAATGTTTTTTTTATATATTTAATCTTTTTTGCCTTTACACTAAAAATGGCGGACTTAATGCCAATATGGCATTCTTTACCAGTCAATTGGAAAGAACACACAGACTCAAAAAAACGCCAGAATCAAAGAAAGCAGTCAGAACTGACTGTCATCTGTCTGTCAACTGTCATCCGACACAGTATCTGTGTTATTTGTATGCGCCTGTATATGTATATATATATTTATTTATATGTCTTTGTGTGTATATTTATATAATAATTCTATTAATATGGTCGTATGTATAGTTAAATGTTAGTATGTTTGCTCATTGTTTGATTTTAATCTCTCTTCTTTGATTCTGCCGTTTTTTTATCTCTGTTTTTGCATTCCGATTGACTAGTAGAGAATGGTAAGCGGTCACCTTGTCCTATTATGGCTCCCAAACACCAAGAGACACAAACGCGCGTTGTCGATCCTTTAAACACTTTCAATGGTAGCTCATTCCACAGCTTAATCCTACACGAAAGGAAATGTTTATAAGAGAGGATAGATATCCTGTATTAACTAGGTGCTAAAGGTGGCCGTGGGCCAAGGGCGGATCCAGGGGGGGGTCATGTGGGTCATGACCCCCCCCCTGGGCTGAGTCCATCTGTACCCACTTCACAATCTGTACTTCACGATCTGTACCCACTGTGACTTGACCACGACTAAATGACCTGCCCCTGGCACCAAAGCTGGATCCGCCCTTGCCGTGGGCATCATGTCAATTATTATTATTTCAGATACCCACAAAGACGACTGTTTTTGCCACGAGCGCAGCTGCGTGGTTCACCAGTCTAAAATGTGCAAAATGAGAGATTGGATCGACGTCGACCAATCATAATGTTTGTAACTTTTTTATATTTTTATCTAATGTCATTTTACCTACCTATTGATTAAATTTAATTTTTTCATACCTAATATTTTTATTTCATTGCATAGGTAATTAAATTTTACGGTCTGTTTTATATCGAAAGGGCGACCCTATTAAATAATAAATATTTCCAACACACACACCAATTAGCCTAGCCCCAAAGTAATCCCTGTAAGGCTTGTGTTATGGGATACTAGGGTAACGGATAGAATACATAATTATACAGTACATATATAAGTATATTTATATAGAAATACATTATTAAACATCCATGACTGGAGTACAAATGCTCGTATTCATCTCACAAACATCTGCCCCCACCGGGATTCGAACCCGGGACCTCTCGAGTCGACGACACCATGAAACCCGGCGTACAAACCACTCGGCAACGGAGGTCGTCAATTACTTAGCCTCTACTGTCCGTCTGTTCGACCAAATTATAATTTGGGTTGACTGATCAATGATGTCATGAATCATGGACACCCCGGAAACTTCTTGAACAACGACCATAGACAGGGAATCCTACGCAGTTCTTCTTCTTCTGTACGGAGGGTGTTTTCCGCAACTTTTTTTTTATAGATAGTTCTGACAAATGACTCTACCCCACCTGATGTTAAGTGAAGGTGAAGTCCAGACGCGAAGAGAGCTGAGACAGCAGTTCTACCTGCCACACCAGCCGTCCTCACCCTGCCGGCCTGCATGTTGCTTCTTCACACCTCTTTTAAAGGATCCCAGGTTGTAAGAGGGAGGGAACACGTGAGCGGGCAGAGCATTCCATTTACGGATAGTGCGACAAAGAAATGAGCCACCAAATTTCTTTGTACTCGACACCAGGTGCCTATTTTGCGTGAGAGGATGGCTTAAGTCATAACATCCCAACTCCCCAAGAAGCTCAGCAGTCTCTTGGTGCCCCGCAGGCCTTGAGCAGCGTCCGCGGGCTGCCCAAGTGTGTCATCCGTTGTCTGGTCACGCTTCTACACTGTAGCAGGACGTGAGTGCTCGTCTCCTCTTGCTCCATGCAGGTGTCCGAGACACCTATTTTAAAGAGATGTTTATTAAAGTGGATGGCTTTGGTCATGCCATCCCAACTCCCCCAAGAAGCTCAGCAGTCTCTTGGTGTCCCCGCAGGCCTCGAGCAGCCTCCGCGGGCTGCCCAGGTGTGTCATCCGTTGTCTGGTCACACCTCTCACACTGTAGCAGGACGTGAGTGCTCGTCTCCTCTTGCTCTATGCAGGTGTCCGAGACACCTATTTTAAAGAGATGTTTATTAAAGTGTCCATATCATCCTGCGCAGTTGCAATTTTATATACAAAAACGTTTTCTGCGCAAGTGTATTTGTCTGTGGTTTTGGTCAAGGAGTTTGGCCCTACCTATAAAAGGTAGTTGTTATTTTCACAGAAGATGTAATCTATTACCATTTTAAAGAAGGAATAAACTTAAAATAATGTGATATCTCATTCAGGTTTCTTTACCTTTGGATATTAAACGTGTACAGGCGAGGGATTCCTTTCCTATTAAAATTAAGAAATATTTCCTCAAGCTGGACTCTGCCTGGTCTTTTTATCTGTTTATTACTTTGAACTAAATTTTATAGCTACCTTATGTACTTACTATATTTTATATTCTTATATTTACGTTTATTTATTTATTTTTACAATACACTAGTCCGCAGTTTCTTCTATTCTTGTGGTATGGTTTCATTTTGCCAAAGGTTGCCTGGTAGAGATTGCTACTTTAGCAATGAGGCCGCCTTTTGTGTTTGCGTTCCTGTGTTTTTGTGTAATAGTGCAATAAATGATATTCATTCATTTATTCACGTTAAGTGTAAGTAGAGTTTAGCAGTAAAGTGTGCCGCTTGAACCATCCTCACCTTGCAGGCTGGATCTAATTCCTGCCACGTGGAGCACTGGAATCTTTCTCACCAGCACAAACAAAACATTACTGCTCTTCTCTGAGGTAGTAATAACTACTATATAGAGGACCACGCGCACTGGCCTACGTTGTCACCGTCTAACTTTGGCCACAATTCCAACGCGTACAAAGAAATTTGGTGACTCATTTCTTTGTCGCAGTATTCGTAAATGGAATGCTCTGCCCGCTCACGTATTCCCTCCCTCTTATAATCTGGGATCCTTTAAAAGAGGCGTGGAGAAGCAACATGCAGGCCGTTAGGGCGTGGCTGGTGTGGCAGGTAGAACTGCTGTATCAGCTATCTTCACGTCTAGACTTCACCGTCACTTAACATCAGGTGGGGTGGAGTCATTTGTCGGATCTATCTATAAAGAAAACTACCTCAGACGCTACGGCGCTTTTTCTCTATCCGAGCGGCAAATCTGACTACCATTCTTATAACTTTCTAAATCTTACAAAGAGACGTTTATATTTATAGGTATATGACCTTTAGGCTAGAAACTCGTCAGACTTTGAAATTTAATGACCAAGTCAACAAAGCTTGACTTGTAAACTTTTTGCAGTCCCTGCATTATGGTTTGAATTAACTTAACATAAATCACTTCAGAAAATGAACCCTTTGAACTTTCTAGGTAGTATAAAAAGCTTTCCAGTTAGTAACTGCCGCGGCTTGTTTTTGTATAGCTCGTGCCATCGCGATACTTATTCATACTATAAACTTTAACTTCTTGGAATCTTAAATAGCCTTTGAGTATATATTAAGTATTCTCTAAGTAAATAGCTCTTTTACTTGATTTGACGCATTAAACGTGATAGAGTCTGTGCGGAAACAGAATGCGATTTAGATTGGGGGGCGCTGTAGTGCTTTTCTACCGTATTTGTAAAGTTTTACCCCTTTTAGACATGATTAAATACAAAAAACCGCAAGAAATCACAACAACAAACAAATCCGTATCAATACAAAACTTTTACGTTTTACAGATTGCTGGGTTTGATTGCCAAATAAAAATCTTAATGTTAGTTCAGTTTTTCGCCACGCCCATTCTCTTTCCGCACAGACTCTACCTACTATTAATTTGATTTAAATTAATACATTTTTACATAATCTTTGTTAAAGTTCCGAATCCTTTCAGGCAGCTTATGTGGCAACTCGCCCTTTAAAATTCTAGCCCAATGCAAAGTCTACACGTAAACTGTTTTGAATTTATGTTTTTCTACGATTCGTGAAATTCACATTTCTATTTTTTTTTTGTTTTTTTCTCATCTCACTAAACTCATTAATCTTTAGATATAAGTTCTATCTAAGTATAAAATTCATGTGATGTTATCGCAGTCCAAGTTATTAACGCACACGTGCCTCGATGGGCCTTTTAAAAACACCGTATAGTCCATGACACTGCGGCGCTTAAGGCTGGTTTTACACTACAGGTATGTGAGAGGTATCTAAGCTATAATATAAGGAGATATTTATATTTTTTAATCTATGGAATACGGAGATTGAGCCGTGACCCACTACACGGTCCCAGAGAATATTGGTGGGCGTTAACGACTGCAGATGCAGCCGAGACCAACGGCTGAATGTGCCTTCGGAAGCACGGAGGAGCTCGAGATTATTAGTTTTTGGCTACCCATCCAATGACCGACCTTTACGAAAGTTGCTTAACTTTCATAATTGCAGGCCGCTCGCGATAACCACCTGCACCTGTTGGTTACATCGTGACCCCCTCCTCCAAGTAAAAGTTTATGGCGGATTATTTGACGCCATCCGTCTCGATCTGCCGCCGAGTGTAAATCATAGTGAACTGTGGTATCAAGAGCGGCGCGGCTCTGGGTACAGAGCCGCGCCGCTCTTGATACCACAGTTCACTATGTACAGCAATTCAAAAAGTTTGCGAGTGCGAAATGTCATTGTCAAATTTTGTATGGAAACTTGGCCCGCAGCACCACAACGGACGTAACAAGAACTAGAAATCAGTACGCATTTGACGTATGAAATAGATCGAATTCGATAATGGTTCACGCTATGGGTACAGTCCAACGTGTCGATCGAGCCATCCGTCTCGATCTGCCACCGAGTGTAGAGCATCGCGAACTGTGATATCAAAAGCGGCAAGGATCTAATCAGTCTAACGTGTCGATCGACCAATCATATTAATGGATTATTCCAACGATATTAAATACCTTAGATACATACACCACGTGCGCTCAAAATGTGTCCCTATCAAGAAGTGCTTGAACACGACTCAAGCACTTCTTGGTTCAGAATCACATCTATTTTTCACAAATATTTTCAGGTTTAATTTCATTCATCACAAATATTTTCAGGTTTAATAGAAAATATTTGTGATATTCAAAGGCATGGTTGGTATATAGCCGTCTCTTTCCTCGCGGTCCATACCTGCTGTATTGCTAACAGCGCATTCAGAATTGCGCGTAGAGTCAAAGAAATAAGGTCTATATTCTTCCGCATATAGCAATAAGTCGTAAAATTTTACGGGCTTACATCTCGGACTGTCATGACTCTTTGACGCATGCGCTTTGATTACGGCCTTATATGGTGTGCTTTAATGTTGATATTTCAATGTTTAAATAACGACTTATATTGTTTAGACTATGCGATTATCTTACGGAGCTCCGTGGATCGTCCAATGTACCTTTTGGACAGGTTCCGGGCATGATTTTGTTCGTGTTGGTGTATCTAGAGTATTTAATATCGTTGGATTATTCTCGCACATCGCTTTTAGTGTAGTATCTACCTAGAACAACGTAGTCGTCGGCACCGCGCGGTCAGACCATAAGCCAGGTCGCGCTCCGCCAAGCGCACTTCCTGCCGTGACCCGCCGCAAGATATCCACATTATAATATTATAAAAACTCGCTCACGCTACTGGCTAGAAGTTATGAGTTCATCTTAATTAATTCTATCATTATAGTTCAGTTCAGAAGCTTGGAAAATATAAGTAACAGAATCATAATAATAGTCATTATATTTTTTGCTTCATGTTGGTTACATTTTGTTCTTATATCTAACTAGTGGCCCGCCCTCGCTTCACTTCGGGGTAGAAGTGATCAAAATCCTTTCTTAGCGGATGCCTATGTCATAACATCTACCTGCATGCCAAATTTCAG